TCACCCAGGTTGGGCACTCCAGGTACACAAGCCTCCCCCTCCCCCACCCCCAGTGTGGGCTGTGCATATCCTCCTGTTGTAGTTGAGCCTTGATATCTGTTAGCACATCAGTGGGAGAGATTTACCACCAGCCTGATCAGCTGAAAAGACTGGATGTGACTGCTGACCACCAAGGAGGATCGGCTGTGCAAGGGCCCACCCCACGGAGCAGGACTTCCTGCAGCAGGGCTGTGGTGCCACTGGGTCTGCCCACTGAGTGTGTTGCTTGTGGAGGTGGGTGGGTGGCGCTTCACCGTGGTCTGCAGCCGCATATGGACTTTTTTTTTAATGACAAAAGTCACTCCTGTTCATTATAGAAAATTTCGGAAGTGCTGAAAACTAGAAAAAATTTGTATAAATTTGACATTACAGTGCATGTTAAGCACTGTTAACTCTGGCTACATTTTTTTTTCAGTAGATTTCTTCCATCCTCAACTTTATTTACTTACTTCCTTGTTCACTTTTCTTTATTAAAATATAACTACACATATGCTCTTATATCCTATTCTTTAATTAACTTTTAAATTTTGAAATAATTTTACATTTGGAGAAAAGTATAGAGAATTCTCATATCCCCCTTTGCCCAGTTCTCCCGATCTTCAGATTCTACATGGTATATTTGGAGTTTACTTTTTCCCTGCCAATGTCCTTCTCCTGGTCTGGGATCCAGCCCAGGACCCCACATTGTCCTTAGTTGTTCTGTCCCCTTGGCCATCTCTGGTGTGTGACACTTGCTCTGTCTTTCATTGCTTTCATGCCCTTGACAGTTTTTAGGAGTGTGTCTCATGTATTTCATAGAATGTCATCAATCTGTGTTGGTCTGATATTTTTGTCATAATTAGACTGGAGCTATGGGTAGCCTCAGGGGGTGGGTATTTGGGAAGACTGTCACAGAGGTGAAGGTCTTTGAATGCATATCCAGAGCAATATACTCTCCACATGGCTTGTCAACAGTAATGTCGGCCTTGAACACCTGGCCGAGGTGGTCTCTTCCAGACTTCTGCTTTGTAAAGTTACCCACCCCTCCATTCTTTGGGAATAACTCAAGTTTATCCCTCACTAAAGGAGGGCAGGATTAAACTATTTTCACCTCCTGTCAAACTATAAGAACTTTTACATTTCATTGCAACTTTTCAGGAAAACTATGTCAGTGCCTACATTTTGATTCAGCCAATGGGAATTTGGTATTTGGCTTGGAAAGTTGCCTTTTTTTGTCATTTAGTTTGTGTCCAGTTTTTCATGTTCCCGTTGTCACAGAGTTATGTTCCACATGAACTTGTGATGTGACCCCCATGGGACGCACTTGTGGGGTCACTGTAGGGTTCTCAGCCTTCATGTCATGACTCCTTGGGCCCCCTTAGGGTGACGTGCTCTGCTTTTTCTTTAAGTCTTTCCCTTGTTGCTGCTGCTGCTGCTGCTCAGGGTTGGCCAGGGCGCCTTGAGGTCAGGGATCTGGCTGCTTCAGTTTTCATAGTGTTTTTGGATGAGCGAAACTCCTCCCTTTTTATTTACTCCTAGACATAACATTGGGCTAACAGAGCATTCTAGTATTGGAAGCGTTTCTTATGACCTTTCCAGGCCTGGGGAGACTGGGTCAATTGCATGTGTGTTTCAACTGTGTAATCTTGGCCAGATTTCCAGAGACCTCCCTTTATGAGCCTGTAGAGTTTAGTTGTCTCTCATGTGGGAATTAGGTTCTAAGGTCAGTGCATAAGGTGACACTCTCTGTGGTCGAGACACCTCTCGAGAAGGCCCCTACCCTGCCTGCTTCATGGGGGTCCCTGGAATGGCATTCCTCAGTGTGAGGCTTACCGAGGGGCCAGAGTCCTACTGAAGGGGCAGCAGCTCCAAGGGCTGGCAGCAGATTGGCTGCTGGGGACATTTCTTTCCCCCCTTTGCCCTTGGCCCCTTGGCGTATAACACTGAGTCTGCATACGCCCATGCCTTCCCCTCGCTTCTTCAGCCTGGCAGGGACAGAGCGGGACTGAGCTGGGCCTTCTGGAGGCAAAGGGGGTGAGAGTCGCAGGCGGGAGGCAGGTGTGTGGGTCCAGTTTTCTGCTTCAACAGGAATGCAAATGGCTTTCATGGAGTTAATATTTGTGGTTTTAGCACCTTAGGACCACCTGGCGGGGGGTGCCTAGCCACAGGTGTGCACCGCCTCCGCTGCAGAGATTTTGTTTTACTAGATGTTCTGGCTGGGGCCCAAGAATGTGCATTTCTGACAAATTCTAGCTGATGTGGATGCTACTGGTCCAGGGACTCTCGAGCAGCAAGTTTCCAGAGCTGCATGGGCCGACATGGAGCCACCAGCCATATGTGGCTACTTAAATCTAAATGAACAAAAATGAACTGCAGTGAACATCTCAGTTTCTTAGTTGCACTGGTCGTATCCCACACACTTCACGTGTGGCTGTGGGCCGCCCCGTTGGACAGCAGTCTACAACATATCCATCATCTCAGAAAGTTCTGGGCGGCACTGAGGTTCGAATCTCAGCCCTGACACTTACTGGTTGTATGATTTTGGGCAAATGACTTAATTTCACTGTGCCTTAGTTACCTAATCTGTAAGAGAGAGAAGAGCTTCTATCTCCTTGGGCTGGTGTGCGGGTCCAGTGAGTTAGCATTGAAAAGTGCTTGCATGGTACTTGGCTTTGCTGGCAAACACTGACATGTGTGTAGTATTGTCATGATTATGACGAAGGTCAAGGTGGGTGGTGGAGGCATGGGGCAAGCCTCAGGGTGGCAGGCAGGTTTCTGGGGACTGCCAGCCTTGCCTATTGGTTCAGTATAGGCTTCCATGGGATGAGGTGTCGTGGGAGCTGTGACGAAGCCAGGCCAGGAAGTAAAGATTTCATGACTGTTTAGTGGCGTCTGCCACGGAAGAGGGAGGACTGTCAGTGGCTCATTGTGGGCAGGGCAGGGAGGGGGGAGATTGTGTTTTGTCATCCCTCCCTATAGGAATTGTCCTGGTTCCTAACCCACTGTCACAGGTGGAGCACCCAGGAAGCGGAGTCTGAGATGTGGGTTGTGTGCAGAAAGCTCATTCAGGACTGCAGAGGGGATCAGCATCCTCGGAAGTAGTGGCAGTAGGGGCACTGGGCTGCCGTGCAGAGCACAGCCTCCGCTGACTCCACAGGGAGCTCCGGGGATGGCCCTGCAGAGCTGTCCTGAATTGAGGCTAACCTGTCGTTGAATGCCAGACATGACCTTGGCTGAGGCACTGTTTTTATCTGATGACAGGTCCTGGATGGGGAGAGGGGTGAACTCGTGAGCTGCTGGCTTCCTGCCCTCCAGCAGCCAGGGTATCAGAGTGCCTGTCCTGGCTTGGGGCCAGGCCATGCAGTGCAGATCCATGTACCCAGAGTGGGGAGTGAGGGAGGGGTGGGTAGGGGAGTACAGTGGGCAGGCTGCAGCACAGGATCCCAAAGAGGCTCTTTAGCCCCCACCTTTATCTGGGGGCTCAGGTGCTCACTGTCAGGTGGGACTTTTGGAGCAGGTGAGCCTCACTGTCATGGTGCTGAGATGCTCATGTCCCCGGGTGCCGAGTTTGTGCCACTGGACCCCAGGCAGCTGCACTGATTCCTAGCTCCCAATCTCTTTATTTCTGGAGATGAGGAGATTTCTTGGCCCTGTCTCTCTCTGGAAGTTCTGGGTTCCCAAGGGGACTCTGACCTCTCCCTTGGTTCTGGATTTCTCCATGAGCTCCACTGGGCCACCAGCTTGGCCAGGTCCTCCTGTATCTCATCTTGTAGCGCCAGCCCCTGCCACTGTTCTCCCTTCATCCTACCCTTGCCAGGCTCTTCGTGTACACACCAGGCGCTGGGTCAGAAAGGGGTCCCAGCCAGCTCCCCCAGGCCACCAGGCTCTTTGACACCCTCAGCATCTCTCTGGGAAGCCCTTGGTACTGAGCTGGTGGTAGTGGTGGGGGCGGGGGTAGGGAAGCATCTTGCAGGTAAAGGTCTCCAGCGTCAGGGAGGCTGTTAAACTAGAGGTAGAAAGCTGTAGGTGGGGACACTTGTCATCTCCAGTGGCACATGCTGAAGGTAACGAATGTGCTGTTTCCTTCCAGAGGGACTGGCAGAGGCCGAGTTGGCAGTGTTGAGAAACTGGATCATTTTCTGCCCACAACCTGGGCAGGCTTCCTTCCTTGGCCATGCACAGCCCCTGAGCAGTCTGACATTTCTAGAACACAGCAGTTTTCTCTGGCTACACCAACGCCCCCTCTCTGTCGATCTGTGGGACATGGTTCTGTGGCAGAAGGGACTGATCTCGTGCCTCTGATGCACCACCTGGGTCCACTGTGTGCCCGCGCCCCTGCCCCCATTCATGCTGTTCCCCGAGAGGCAGACAACTGTGGTGGTTACAGGCAAACCCAGTTACAGGCACACTCGTGAAGTTCCCTGTGGTGTGGTCAAATGACTGTATGTTTTGGGTTTTGATTCAGACCCAGGCTTTGCTACCACCTGGCTTAGACCTTGAGTAGTGACCCCCCCCACCGCTCCCCCACATTGTCAGTCCCCAACCCTCGGGATCGGTAATGCACACTGTATAGGGGTCGAATGTAGTGTGGAGTTAGAGAACATTATTGCCTGGTGACACCCTGGCACACAGTAGATGCTCACCTAAGGCTGGGTCCTTCCCCTTCCTCCTCTCTGGCCTTCAGTGACCTCTCTTTGGTTTGAGCCTTTGTGACATTTCATATCCCTAGAGGTTATGGGGTTACTTAATGCCATGTTCTGCCTACATGACAGTGTCCACGGCCATCCCTGAAGGGTAGAGGTCAATTTTACACATCACTCTGTCACCACAACCTTGAACCCAGGTCTCCTGTCCTTGCTTACCAGCTGTTGGTGGGGTCTTCTCATGGAGGGTCACCTGAGGTGGCAGCCCATGAGAGTAGTCAAACCCCCTACTGTTGGAACCCCTCAAGGCTGATGGAGCTGGGTTCCTCTCTTTTGCAGCATCAGCCTCCGAGAGCTGAAGACCGTCTTGCCCCTGGTCAACTTCAAAGTGAGCAGTGCCAAGTTCCTCAAGGACAAGTTTGTGGTAAGTTTCATAGCTCAGCCTGGTGGCTTTGTGAACCCAGGGCTGCTGGTGCCTCTCACGTGAATGGGGCCCAAGAAAGCCCTTCACCTCCGGCTTCATCTTTAGTCCAGACAGGGGAATTGTGTGAGGACCTCAGGACCGTGGTCTAGTCCCAGCAGAGGACGTCATCCACGGAGACCATGTCTACGGAGCTGCTTGGCTTGGAACGCTATCACCATCCCAACCTTTCCTTTCTCTCCTCATCCTGCAGCCTGTTTCCCTTCTTATAACATGAACAAATGTGTTTGTTTTGGAACATACTTTGAAGGATTCCTCATGTATGTTTGCCAGGGATGTGGCACTTTGCAAGCAAGTCCTGATAGTGTAGTTGTCAGAGTTGGCTCTTCTCCTTACTTCCTACCATCAGTCCCACTCCTACCCACTCTCTCCTACCCACCCTCCCCTCCACCCACCCACTCTTTCTCCACCCATCCATCCTCCCACCCACCTCTCCTCTACCCAACCCCTTCTCCCACCCACTCCTCCTTCCATCCACCCCTCTGCCCACACACTCCTCCTTCCACCCATCACTTAATTTCTGTTCCTGTGTAATTAAGCTATTGGTAGGTCTGGGGCAGGTAAAGTCATTCCAGGAGCAAGAGGACAGAGTAGGTCAAGTGATGCTTTTCCGAATGACATGAGGGTGGAGGCTATGTGGAGAGATAGCCCCAGAGAGATTCCTGCGCTTGTCAAGGAACCCAGCAACACTGCATCCCAGTGCCCCAGTTGGAGGACGCACGGCATGTCAGTGGCAGCCCCGTCACAGGACTCCTCAGCTGCAGAAGCTCATTCATCGTTGTACCAATGAGCTCCTGAAAGAGTTAACCCATTTTGTGGTTTATCAGGCCATTTTTTGACTTGTCCTCAACATTCTAATTCAAAAGGCAAAAACAGAGGAGGGTGGGGATTGAAAGGAGAAAAGAGAGATGGGAGAAGCATTCACCACTGATTACCGCTTAATCGGAGTTTTGTTCTTTATCGAGCCTTTACTGAGCAGGTGTCCCTTGATGTTACCTAGTTTGCTTTCAGGGGAGTGCGAGGCAGGTAGTGGTGGTTCTGTTATTTCACAGATGAAGAAACTGAGGGCTTGAGGGGTCACAGAAATTGCCCAAAGCCATTAGCAAATCAAGGGACAGGTCTTGACTGGAGTTAAGTTCTGTCTAATCTAAAGCTTGTTTTGTTTTCTTAAGCTTTAAAAAATGACCTGTACATACATACCCTGTAACTATGTCTGCATTTGAAAGTGTCTTGGATGTCCCCAAGGAGGCGTTCTCAGTGTGGCTCTTGGAATTCTGCTTGAGATTCTTCTTTTTGGGGGGTCCCAAAGTAAGAAGGGTTTTTACCTGGTGGGGTCCCTGTTAGGTCTGTCCTGCAGGCAGGTAAGTCAGGAAGCTTGTGGACGGTTGGGGCTCAGAGGAACGCTGGTTTGATTTCAGCCAGTGTTGTAGAAAAGGCGTTCTATTTCAGTAAAAGGGAGGAGGCATTCTTGTGGCGGACACCAAAAATCATGTGGTCACTTTTTTTTTACTTTTACAGGAAATAGGCGCGCACAAAGACGAACTCAGCTTTGAGCAGTTCCATCTCTTCTATAAAAAACTAATGTTTGAACAGCAAAAATCGGTAAGGTGGTTCTCGAGCAAATGATCGAATGGTGTTTGTTTTCCCCTGTGTTTCAAAGTCCAGCACGTCCCTAGGAAAACCAGAAAAGGCTCCTTTCTAGTCACAGGAGTGTAAAGTGAGAATGACAGTGACGTACCGTGTTCCTCTGGTGGGCTGGCAAAGGTTTTCCAACGAGAGAGTGCCGCGGGGAACACGTGGGGAGCTGGGCTCGCTTACCTGCTTGCTGGGCATATGAATGGCTGTACGTCTGACTGGAATTTAATCTGGGTCTCTTAAAGTAACAAATTTCAACTTCTCCTCCTGTACAGTCTCATTCTGGGAGGAAATTTATGAAATTATTAACAGTAACCATCTCTAGGTTAAGGGATTATGTGTGTGTGTGTGCCTTCTTTTTATACTTCCATTCATTTTTATGGGAATATATTTTTAAGACAGTATGCTATTTTAGAATTAAATGAAATGAAATTTAAATTTTAAGATAACATGCTATTTTAAATTTAAAATACATTTTGGCCCGACAGTGGCATTCTGGGGACTCTGCTTGGAAGGAATGAAAGCACTGGGACCTAAGAATGTGTCACCAGGTTGGTTATTGCAGTGTCACTGTGCCGGCAAAGTCCCCGGGCACCATCTCGGTGCTGCTCAGTGGAGGGGCGGCTGGGGGAGTTATGGTCCAGCCGTGCTCCGAACAGCATGTGGCTGATGGGAAATTCTGAGTCGCTTGTGTTTCTGTTGATGCGGAAGGATGCTCTTGGTATTTTGTTAGGAAAGCCAGCAGCAGATTCACATGAGGAGCCAAGTCCGATGTTTTTATAAAAATGAAACAGACTACAGTAATCCTCCTCACTTATATATCATTTGTGTGTGTGTTTATGAAGAAGGAGAAAGGGTGGAAGAATACACACCTCACCTTTAATATCGATTTTGTGTGTGCCCTGGGGGAGTTTGGGAAGATGGGCAGGAGACATAATTACATTTTTCTTTGCACACCTCGGTTTTCTTTGACTTGGCCCAAGTTGGTCTTTTACTTTTGCAATAAAACAAGTCCCATAAAGCATAAAGCTTAAGTAGGGCATTTGGTGTACTGCACAGAGCATAGTGCCGGCTGGGTGGCATGCACGCCCCAAACAGCAGCTGCTGCTGTGACTGGTGGCAAAGGGCTTTGCAGGTGGCAAAAATGGGCCCAAAGCAGAGCTGAGAGACAGCAGAGAGTAGGTGGGACTTGGAGCCAGATCAATTATCTGGTTTCTCCAGTCAGCTGTGTGATCTTGGTCCAGCCACTGACCACTCCCAGCCTCGGTGTTCTCATCTGTGTAGTGGGAGCCATGATCCCTGCCCCACTGGGCTCTGGGGAGGACTGAATGAGGGATTGATTGATTGGTGGTTGAGAGTGCAGGCCTTTTTAAGTCTGAGTGTGAAATCTCTGGAAGACCGTTATAATTGCCTTCTACGTGCAGGCAGGCTGGCCACAGGGGGAGGCCTCTTGATAGGTAGCCAATGACCATGGGATTCTGGATGTCTCCAAGGTAGAGAAATGGGAGAAGCAATTCCTGTCTGCCTAGAGTGGGCAGAAATACATGATCTTATAGAGTAAAAATTCCACTGCAGTGTGTTCACTTTTTCATGTATATAATAGTTCTTGTTTGCCAAATATAGTAGAAGGATTGTAGGCACTGGGAGTCGCAAGACCTGGATTCCAGCCCCAACGTGACCTCTAATGACCAAGCGGTTTGGGGAAAGCCACCTTTTCCCTTCTCACTCAGCCTCCTCTATCAAATGAAGGTATTAAATCAGGTTACTAATTACAAAACTTTAAAAAACTTTATACTCCCCTTCCCTTTTTAAATAGGAGATCTTAATAAAAATAAATCTACTGCACAGAAGCTGAGCAGAACCCTTTTTTGGGTTGAAATATATAGCTTTTATTTATAGTCCTCCCTGGGGAACGATGAAGTGTTTCGATGGCAGTGTACCTGTGAAACCCAGAATAGTGACAATTGCTCTCTGAGCCAATAGACCAGGATTGACAGAAGCTGGGCTCACTCAAGATAAGTGGTTGCAAGTAACAGTTTTTATAATCAGTTGCCTTGAAATTTCAGGGTGCTGTCTCATCCAACAGATGGCAGGCAAAGCTTGAGAATAAGGTTTGCAAAAAAGCGATTTCACTTGCCAGCATAGGTTAACCCATTGATAACCTCCCCTGTGATAAAATTCCTTGTGAGATGCATGTCAGCCTGCACTTTTCAGCGTGGTGCTTTTTAAGGCGAATGTGTGTGTGTGTGTTTGAGAGGGAGACTGGAGAGAAAGAAATCTGAGTCAGAATCCTGCAGCATCTCCACACCCCCGGGGGTGCCTTGCTTGCCTGGTTTTGGGGAAGAGACGACTTTACCTGAGGTTGTCCTTAATGATCAGAACACCACATTCAGCCTGTGTTTGGTTGTACTTGGCCTAATCGTTAAAAAAATTTTTTTAATGAATTGCCTACATTTAAAAGTTGGAAATTTTCTATTAAGATCCAGATTCTTTTAGCTTCATGTGAAAAAAATTGAGATCTGCCTGTGTATGGGTCCTGCATTGCCTGGGGGACATCTGCGAGGAAAGGAAGCAGCATCCCCTGGGGCGCCCCAGCCTGCACTTGCACCCTGCTTTCTGTCAACTCAGGTTGCTCACCCGCCCTACAGACTTTTGGGGTTGGCATCCTCTGGTCTCCACCTTTGGACAGTGCCACTGTGTGGTTTGGCCACCACATGTGTAATATTACTTCAGTGACTAGGAATTTACATAACAAAGCCCCAAGCTCTGTAGATAGTTACTGGCTGGCTTGAGAAACAGCACTGCTCTTGTGGTAGGTGAATGCCCCTCCCCTCACTGTTAGCATATAATTTACTTCCTGAGCTGTCCCTGGGAGCAGCGCACAGAAAAAAGTATTAGTCGTGTGTTCGTAGGGGCTTGGCCGGATTTCTTGGGCTCCTCGGGGAGACAGGGCTATTTATGGTGATTGATGACCCCTAGACCTAAGTCCAGGCAGTGGGTTCCTGCTCATCAGTAGCTGTAGGTTGTCAACCTGAGGTTGTCAGTTTCTCTTTGTATCTAAGCACCTTCTTGTGCTGCTGCTTTCAAGCTTCAGAGCTTCTAAAAGTTAGGCGGCAGCAAGAAGATAAGAAATGTAATTCCATGTGTGTCCCCCTGGTGAGGGGACATACCTTTCCCCAAGCTGTGATAACAATATTTTGTACGCAGAAATTAGCTAATGTTTTCTAAGTGTGAACTCTATGCTGGGTCCTGTGCTAGGTGTTTGCACACATTAAATATTTAATAGAGGTACGTTCATTATCCTCATTTTACAGGGGAGCAAGCAAGGTCCTTCCTGGAGGTCTTGCACCAGCAAGCTGCAGCTAGGGTTCGTGTTCTCCTCTGCCCACCTTCAGTCGCTGGCCACTGACTTTAATTTTTTAAAGTTTTGTATTAAGAAACACTCTAATATATATAGGTACAGATAATAGCATCACAAACCCTCACGCAGCCGTCAGCCAGCTTCAGCAATGATCAGTCAACTAATGGCCATCTTATTTCATCCATGCCCTTAACCGCTTCTCTCATCCCATATGATCTGGTATAAATCTTCCCTTAAACACTCTAACTTAATACTCTGAAATGTTAAGGATTTGAAATGTAGCAGTGAGGGTGCAGAGGGTTTGTGTGTTCATGGTGTGGGTGCTGTTCGGCACAACTATTTTGAGAGCCAGTCGATGGAATCTGCTGAAGTTCATGTGCACACCTCATGTCCAGGTGCTTTTCCAGCTAGGAATGTTCCCAGTGGAAATACTGGCGCAAGTGGATACAGATGTAACGAGGACCTTCTTTATAATACTGGATGTAACAGAAAATCGATGATGTCCATGTTATGGAACACAGTGTGGGCTTTTAAAGTAATGAGGCAGGACTCTTTGAGGTTGTAGAACATATTAAGCTTGAAACAACAGCAACAAGTTGGGAGACATGATGTAATATAATAAAATGAAATTAGACTATTATCCATAAAATAAACCCTAGAAGGAAACCTACTAAATTATTAAGAGTGCTAGAGTCTCAGGAATAAGATTATGAAAGAGATAAGGATGACTTCTGCCTTTGGCTTCTTAAGCTTTGGTTATAGTTCAACACTTACAAGTCACATGAATTACAAGGATAATTTAAGAGAAAACAAGTCTGCTTATTTGCATTAATAAGTCACACAAATTATACTGTTAATTTCTTAACCCCCAGAATCTCTTCTTTTGCATTAAGTGGCTTGACTTGTCTAATGTTCTTATTTTGTGTGATTTTCCTTCTCTTTTCTATTTCAGATTCTCGATGAATTCAAAAAAGACTCCTCCGTGTTCATCTTGGGGTGAGGCACCTCTTCTGGGTTACTGTCGTGCAGGGTGGGTGTGCCGGTCATGGTGCCGCAGTGCGGCTGGCTGGCTCTGGCAGGGTCATCTCTGTGGGTGCGCATGGGCAGGGGAGTGGGCAGGGGTCCTCCTACCCAGGGATTGGCCATACCACCCCTGTGGCTTGGATGAGCATGAACAGTAGCAGCAGAGTTTGTGGAGTGTCGGGAGGGTGGCCCGGAAGGTTCCGCAGAGAAGCTTCCGTGCTTCAGGGCCTGCTTTCCTGGAGTGTGCTTTGTAGAACATGACTGGTGAATAGGTTTTTGCACAAATTAAAGCAACGTTAGTGGCCAAGTGAATTTAGAGAACTGCTGGTTAAGCAGATTTAACTGAATTAAAATGAGTCGAAGCACGTAAAGTGCTTCACATGGCGTGTGTCAAGGACCCTCTACAGTGGTAATGATGCTATCAGAGAGTGAGTCCTGCAGGACTTGTCAGGGCCTGGACTGTGCTGCCAGTTCCCCGAGTCGGGGGTTGGTGGAGTGTCTGTGTTTCCCAAGCCTGTCTGCCTGGGAGGAAGGTTTTCCATGGAGCTCATGGCACCTCAAACCCGATGTGCAGCGCAGTGACCTGGGCTGGCTTTCTGGGACCCGCCCCCACTGATGCGGGCACTTGGCGATTATTCCTGTATCACTTTCTAAACAAGAAACCTTGACACTTCAGAGTCTATATAAAAACTGAATCTGATATTTGCGTAGTATCGTAATGAAAAGATTAGTATATTAATGGAAAGATATGAAGCAAACTTAGGCTGTTTAGCAAAGAAGGTTAGAAAAAAACTAATAATTAAAGACAATAAAGACAATAGACTTTTGGATCCTGAGTGTTTAGCAAAGAAAGAAAGTTTAAAGCATGTTTTAACTCCTATATTTTAAAAAGGCCCTACCCCACCCCACTTGCAAGTGCTCAGAGACAAGTCCGAGTTTCCCTGGACAGCTCTGCTCTGAAGAGTGTACTTTCCGTAGAGGCCGAGGTTGCCTGTGCCCATCCAGTGAGGTCCCCAGGTTTCTTGATGGCCATGAATGAACATCCTCTCCCCAAGCCCATCTGTCAGCAAGCTTCCAGTCAAGGTGGAGTCTCCTGTTATTCAGGGTGGAGCGTCCCCTTGTGTCACATGGAAAATTCTCCCAACAGCAAGCCTCTCCTGGCCCCATGGCCTGAGGCTTGCATGTTCCAGCTGATTGTCCCATCCGCCCAGAGTCTGAGGTGCTTCGTCTGGCCTCCTCTCCTGCTTCAGAGCAAACTCTGGATGGTGGCTTCTGAGGGGACACTTTGATGTGGCCCCAGTCACTTCTCTAGCTCCCCCAGAGTGCCGTCCACACCAGCCCACCCAAGCATCTGCTGCACGTACGTACTTCCATGCCCTCCTTCCTCCTTCCCCGGCACGGAGCCACCTAGGAGCAGCCGAACTGGCCTGTCTTCTGGGGTTCTGCGTCCTCGTTGAATTGTAGGTTAGGAATGTCATGTAGGCCACCCTTGTCTTCCTGTTGCCAAGCCTGAGCCTGGCACTGAGGAGGGTCCTGCAGGGAGTCTGGGGGCAGGCTGCCTGCTGGAGGGAATGGCCTCTTGTCTACTGAGGTGTGTGCCTCTCTGAACACCCTCTCTTTCCCCGAGGGCAGGAACACTGACCGGCCGGACGCCTCTGCTGTTCACCTGCACGACTTCCAGCGGTTTCTCTTACATGAACAGCAGGTGAGAGAACAGAAGGGCGGGGGCGAGGGGAGCTACCTGCATGGTTTCTTACCTCTTCACCACCTGCCTTCATCCAGCCGCCTATGAAACAGTGGTAGTCCTCCTGACCAATGCCACTTTGCTCTCACAGACTCTGGAATGACAACAGCCTCGTGGTAGCTCCTTCTCAAGGCACAACTGAGGAAGGGCAAGAGTGAGAGTTCTCCAAGGCAGGCAGGCGGGGTGACAGCCTACAGGCAGGGGTGCCCTCACTTGGCTGGCTTCTGCTGCTTCTCCTGCCTCAGCTTAGGTGTCACTTCCTCAGGAAGCCAGCTCTGGCCGATGGAGGGTGTGACTAAGGTGGCGAGCCTGCCTGCTCCTCGGGGGGAGATGGTAGCACGGTTGTCCTTCAACAGATGACATGTGAGGGGTCTCTGGGAGTGCTCACGTCTGGGCTGCCAGCTGGTGGCAGAGTCAAAGTCTGGTGCTGGGCGGTTCTGCCACCCAGGGCATATCTGGAGACGGCTTTGGTTGCCACAGCTGGGGGTGCTGATGGCGTGTAGTAGGTACAGACCAGAGAGGCTGCTCAGCATCCTCAAATGCACAGGTCAACCCTCCCACAGCAAGGAATTGCTCTGCCCCTAGTGTTAATAGTGCCCAGTTGAAAAACTTAAGACTGAGATAAGGCTGGGATCCTCTTACTAGCTATGTGACCTTGGGCAGGTAGTTTGACCTTTCTCTGCCCTAGTTTTCTCTTTAGCTGGGGATGAGAGCCCCACCTCTCAGAACCATGGGGTCAGAATATGGAGCTTTATGTGTATGTATGTGCATCTATATGCATAGTTACATATCTGTTTCAATGTTGTATTTATATCACTGAAGTCTCATTTACATTTTCTCTTTATTTAATTTCTTGTTTTTTAATAGACTAAAGAGCAGTTTTAGGTTCATAACAATATTCAATTAATGTGTATTTTTAAAATATTTGCATTTCAGAATGTTTTAAACATGCCCAGAAGTAGCCAGGCTGGCATTGAACCACCATGTACCTGTCATGCCGATTTAAAAATTAGGAGCATTTGCCAATTTTAGTACATCTGTCCTGCATCTCACACTGCTCTGTCTCCCTTCCCTTTCCCCCTTCTTCATTTCTTTGCCGGAAAATTCTGAAGTAAACTGTAATGTATCATGAAGTCAACATATCATCTCACTTGTAAATAGCATGCCTCTCTTATGAAATGGACTTCTTTTTCTTTAAAAAAAAAGTGTACCACTCCCATTATACCTTGCACAGTGAACACTGATTTCTTTATGTCATCCAACGCTCAGCCATGCTCAGTTCCTCTGACTGTAGAGAAAGTAGTGGACAGACACACAGCACGCACTCTGCACAGGGCAGCCACGCGGAGGCCCCTGCGGTGGTGCTAGCTGTTGGGACATGATGAATGGGGACTGAGGAGATGAGGTGTCATGCTTTCTCCATGCGGGGGCTGAATGGGAGTGATCAAGAGAAGGATTTTTGGCTCAGCCTGAGCCACCACCAAGGGGAAGTAAGTGAGCGGGGATAAATGAGTTCTCTTTGGCACAATTATACGCTCAGTACTGAGCTGCCAATACAGTGAAGCAGAAAGAGAGGTGTATGTATGGTTTTTCCTTTTCGCCACACTCTTCCTTGCACTGAATCGCTCACTTTAGTAAGGAGCTATTGAAATGTTAAACCAAGAGAAAAGAATTTGTGGTCAAAGCTTTTCTGAAAGACAGGGTTTGTCCAAACGCTGGTCAGGAAAGGACCAGGTCCTGGTGCATCCAGTCTGCACCACCAGCAGTGGGCCGGTGGGGACAAATGTTCGTGGTCTGATGAGCTCTTCTGTCAACACAGTGTGGGGAAGAAAAATCTAAGTTGCTTTGAAAGAATTTCCATTGGCTGCGGACAACGGGGGGTGGGAGAAGGTGAAGGGGCTGGGGGAAGGGGGTGGGAGAAGGGGCGGGCTTGTTCTGGGGTAGGGCAGGGTCTGAAAGGAAGAGGTGTGTGCACCTTCAGATTGGTGGTGGGCAGCAGCCCAGGAAGTTCCTGTGTAAGCAAGAAGCAGAGGCGCCTGGTGGTCAGTGGCACCTGGCTGTCCTCTTTAGATAATTGTGGCAATAGCCACCTGGAAGTTAATTCAGGGTTTCAACACACACTAAGAAAGCAAGCAGTCTTTTGTTGGTTTTGCCCTGCAGTTAACTGATTAACCTGTCTTGTCCCCTCCTTCTGCACTCTCGTCTGTGGTAATTTAATTTAGGACGTCTCCAAATTTTCTCCTTGTCAGCAGTTACATGGCTAACCTCCTGGGGACAAGAAGCCTTATATCTTAGAATCTGCCACCTACTGCTGCTTAATTTCATTACAGGGGAGGATGGCAGGCTACCCCTCACTTCACTGGACCACCCTCAGAGATCAAGGGTGTGGGCCAGGAGCAAATTGCAGGAGCTCTTCGCATGTGAGCCAGCCCATGAGCATCTGCGTGACAGCCTGGCTGACTCTTAATGTCCCATGTGCCCAGTGCTCTGTGAGGTGACAGCATGAACGGAGCCAGTCATCTAGGACATGTGTTTGGTGCGATGGGTGCTCATTTGTGGGGTAATCACTGTAGCTCTTGGTGTGCCAATTAGTACAACTTTTCCTAGAAAGCACTTAGGCAATATGCAATTAAAATGAAAACTTTGAAAAAAGGGTATATCCTTTGATTAAATGATTGCCCTTCTAGAAACTTATCCTAAAGCAAAAATGGCAGCATTTTCAATAGCAATGCAAACTTGCAACAGATCTAAATCTCCATTAGGGGACTGGCTGAGTATACCCGAGTCCAGCCCTGGGAGGGACGGCTCACACTGTAGAAAGGGGGTTAAGAGGAAGACCTCAAAACAGATGTGCCTGAGGTGGTCTCAAGCTCAATGTTGGGTCAAGTTGTTTTATTTAATGACTTGACACCTCAGTTCCCCCATTTATATAACAGGAAAATAATGTGTGCCTCCTGGGGCTGCGTGGTTCACAGTAAGCCACTACGTGGGAAAGATTCAGCGCAGAGCCTGGCGTGCAGTCTGCGCCCAGTGCGACTGCCCTCACCACGTACTACTCCTTTCACCATTGTTCTTATTTTCAGTAGTATGGAGTCCTAGCGCAGTACCCCACACCAAGTAGATTTGTTTTTTAACCCCATTTGTATTTTGAACTTCAGGCAGGTTTCTTTTTTTCTTTTTTATCCTCCCCTGAGGACATTTTTTGCATTGCTTTGAGAGAGAGAGAGAGAGAGAGAGAGAGAGAGAGAGCATCGATGTGAGAGAGAAACATCGATTGGTCGCTCTTGTAAGTGCCCTGCCTAGGAATGGAACCCGCAACCTAGGTTTGTACCTCGTCCAGGAATTGAACCTGCCACCTTTCAGTCTAGAGGATGACACTCCAACCAGCTGAGCCACACCGCCCAGGGTAGGCAGAAGATTTCTTATTGGCAGTCATCAAGATTCAGGCTATGTCAGCTAAGTACCCATGCTTTTCATGAGAAAGCTTTGTAGAAGGAAGGAGGAAGCTTCTGGCCTTTGGGGGACACCAGAGCCTGGCCAGGCCTTTTCCTGACATGTCCTACATTGAGTTTCATGTTCTAATATTCAAAGGTTTCAACACCTGTGTATTCAAATGAACGGGCTGATCCCTAGTCTCCTAGCTGTTTTGTGTCCCTTATCCGAGTAGATTTGCAAGACTCAACAGCGAGGCCCATTGTTGCTGTGCAGCAGCCACCCTCCAGGGAGGCCGTGTCTCCACCACTGCATTTGTGTCTGTCCTTTAGCGTTTCCTTCTTTCATGTGTCCTGCTCCGACTCTCCCCACCTAACCACATACACGTCCAGTTGCACATTTGCTTGTATTATTCTTAAAGGTAGAGGCTTTAGAATATTCCGCATCCAGAAAGCATTAGCCAAAGCTGAGCCTGTGGGTCCTGTTTTCTCCCTTTGTCTGATGACTACTTGAGGTTGTAGGGTTTGGAGAGGAAAACAAGGAAGGTACTTTATATTACACGCTCTCACAGAAACTGTGCGTGGATGTTGTTGCTCCCACGGAGTGGGTGAGGAGGCGCAGAGAGAGGGTGTATGGCTTGCCCAGGTCAACCAGGCAAGTCACCCTGATGGTCGGGCATAACTTTTTTTCCAGTCCTCTCTTTGGTGATTCTTGTTCTCTTTGTCATTCTAAGGAGCTCTGGGCTCAGGATCTGAACAGAGTCCGCAAGAGGATGACAAAGTTTATCGACGACACAATGAGGGAAACTGCGGAGCCCTTTCTGTTCGTTGATGAGGTGAGTGGGCTTCTTGTGAGCTGTTCCACAAGTGCTGGTTTTCTTCCAGCCTTTCCCTCGTCCTTGTCCCATTGACCTTGTTTCCTGAGTGCGTTTCTTGCTTTTACCACCAGAGGGCGTTTGCTGCCCGGGAGAGCATGGTAAGCACACCGAATTCAAAGGTTTTGGGGGTTCCTGTGAGCTGTTGTTAACAGTTGCGCTTGACTGTGAGTGAGGCAGCAGGGGAGGTGAGGCTGAGGAGAACTGGCAGCTCCTGTTCCCTGTAACGTTGTTCCCAGAAAGCAGAGTGTTACCTCAGTGTCACTCAACCTTCCAATTTTTTTAAAGGGGTGAAGAATTGGGATATTACATTTCCTGCCTTTTAAATGTTACGATTCTGTTAGTTTTGTTTATCAGGTTGGGAGGTTCACAAATGCTTCTGCTATTATTATACCTTAAAACCTATGGTATATGGGAAGCATATATTCTTGTAGTAGCATATTTTAGGGCGCACATTAAAAAGGAAACATCGTCAGTGAAACCTGTGTCAGTGCAGCCTGTTGCATGAGCTTCTGCACGGAAACTTGGAGACCACCTGCTGTCCCTGAGCTCCCACCTCCCTGTGCCACACAGACCAGAAAGAACCAGCTACCACCCCTCCTTGTCTTCATGGTGGTGACCCTGTCTCTGTGTGTGTGACCCCCCTAGTTCCTCACGTACCTGTTTTCACGGGAGAACAGCATTTGGGATGAGAAGTATGATGTGGTGGACATGCAGGACATGAACAACCCCTTGTCTCATTACTGGATCTCCTCATCACATAACACGTGAGTTTTGCCACCAGCCTGGGAGGGGTCGCAGGTGATGGGTGGTATGGCGGGTATCCCAGTGGGTTGCTTTGGCAAGGCCTGTGGGCAGAGTGCAGGGCCACACCACTCAGACTGGGATATATAAACGCTTCTGGAAGAGGTGGCATTACAAGGATCATCCTTTTTCTGTGGCCCTGAAAAGCCAGTTAGCAAAGCTGGTGTTTTCACAGTTTGGGCATCTCACAGTAGCCACAGCAAAGAAATTGAATGAGTCGTTGAACTGGTATTTACTGCCTGCCCTGTGCTTGCTGGGTACTGGGGGTGTAGCAGTAAACAGGGCAGGACAGAACAGCACTGTTCCCATGTGCTTGGAGGAGAAAAGACCTCCTTTGATTCTTATCAAAGGACAGGAGTTGATGAGAGGAGAGCAGGTGGTGAAGTGAGAAAGAGGGTTTTAGACAGAGGGACCGCATGTGCAAAGGTCCAGGGGCAGAAGGAACTGGGAGGTGTCTGTTAACACTAGACTGTAGAATCCAGGGTGGGGGAAGGGGTGTTGTGTGGCAGGAGGGAAGGCTGGTGGGGTCAGTTTGAGTGGAATCTTTAAGTGACAGCAGGGGCAATGGGAGCTGCTGATGGCTTGTAAGCCAGAGAGCAACCTGCTGAAATGTACATCCTTGGAGGATTACCCTGATTGCAAAAAAGAGAATAGACTGGAAGAGAGAAACGACATTGCACTTAAGTTCTGGTATCTAGTCTGCCTTGTACGGTGCGAGGGTGAGGGCCTTGGCTCATGGGCAGCCAAGAGCTGTAGGTTGGTGCTTTCCCAAGTGCCATTCCAGGCAGGGGTTGGCCAGGCCCTTGAGCTTACCTCCAGGCATTTTGGAAGCTAAAGTCATTTCAGGGGCAAATTGGTTTCATGCTTCTCTCTTCCCCACTACATCCGTTGGTATAAGAGCTTGTGTCTTAGAATGGTAAACTCTGCTAAACCTGGAAGACAATTAAAGAACATAAACTCTTACAGGGGAACATGAGAAAGAGGAGAGTACGTAAAAATACGTATTTTTATGTCTGACGCATGTAGTTCACAGCATAGTAAATTCCACCAGTAGTTGTTGATCACTTATTCAATGCCCAATTCCCTGATGTTAAAATGATGGCCTGTCTCTGCCCTGTTTAGACTGAGGGTCCATGGGCAGCCAGGGGAGAGTTGTTCATTTATCATGTGCTGTAAATCTCACTCCTGACACTCTTTGACCCAGTTCTCAAAAGAAGACAGGGTCTCAACCCTACGCGTGGATTACCAACGTGGTTACTGTTCACATCCTGTGATTGTGGCCTGAGTCTAAGGCGTGGTCAAACAATGGCAAGTTTCTGGCCCAGATCCTAACCCTGGGTCTTTCTAGCCAGGAAGAACTCAGGCCTTTGGGGGCTTGGGCTGAGAAGTTCCCCAAGGACACCCTGATGTGCAGGCCCGCCTTCTCTCCTTCAGGTACCTCACAGGTGACCAGCTGCGGAGTGAGTCGTCCACGGAGGCATACATCCGCTGTCTGCGCATGGGCTGTCGCTGCATTGAGTGTGAGTAGCCTTTTCCTGGTGGAGATAACACCCTCCTCTAACAGAGGCTCACTGTCTCTGCCAATTCCTCAGCTGAGTGTTGGCGCCCCCTACAGGCCAAGAGCCCTAGTCACTCTTTGGTCCCACAGCCTGGAGGAGGCTGAGGCTGGGAAACTATCAGCTGTTCTGTGACCTCTGCTCCCCCTTACTGAGCCCACCTATGCCTCTGCTGGGCAGGCACAGTGGGGTCCCCATTGTTGAACTGGCTGGCCCCTGCCACCTGCAGCTGGATGCTTTTTTGGTTTCAAAGGTGAATAGTGGGGGTGGGTGGGACAGGCCGAGGGAGACACCAGTGCTCGTAGCATCTGGGGTAAGGGATGTGGCCATCAGTGGCAGGGACCTCTCCCCAGAAGAAATCTGCCCCCACCACAGGAGTGGTGTGGAGCCTGGCCAGGTGGGGCCCCAAACCATCTAGATGGCGTCCTGACACAATGGAAGGCCTGGGAGGCTGGCAGCAAAAACGGCGTTATTGGCCTTCTGTCCTCCTCTGGTTCCCTTCAGAGCTTTTTCTAGAGGAAGGCAAACGAATGCCCTCCAAGTGTTAGCTGGCCCAGCCCTGGATGGCATCCTGATTGTTCTTGTCACAGTTGCTCACAGATGCCCTGAGACAGGTGATTCCAGGCACCTGGACATGCCCAGGGTCCAGCCGCTTCCTCCCATCTCCTCATCTCTTACTCCCTGGCCTGACTCGACCGCCAGAGGCTCATAGGTGTGTTAGGCTGAGAAAAGGCTAATCAGTGGTTTAGGTTCCAACTTTATTTAAAAAAATGTGTCATGGTATCAGACTTTAACAGCACTTATTCTTACAGAGTATTGCCTATTTTATACTTTTTCCCCTCTTGGGAAAGAGCAAATGTGAAAAGATGAAGTTTGACATTGCCAGGCCCCGTCACCTCGGGGGGTGACGTACAGGGGTGCTTGCCTCCCACACAATCCAGTTCTGTCTGAATATTCCTCTCCGAACCTTTCAGAATAAATTTTCACATCGCTGCCTGTTATTTCTACCAGCAGAAAAAGCAAGCCAAGATTTAGACAAGTAAAATCAGAAAATAAAACACAATGTAAATATCTTTTTAGAAGAGAAACACTTATAATAGTTTTTTTTTTTTTTGGACAAATGTATTGAATTACAAAGGGACCTTTATTTAAACAACCAGAATCTTCCTGCAACCACACAGGTAACACAGGTAACACCTGTCCTCATGTTGGGGGTCCCTAAGTGCAGTTATTAGGTTTGTCCCCCATGTTCTAGTAACTGAGCTGGCACAGGGGTGAGGGGTCAGGGCTGATCTCTAACTGGCTGGGCACGTGTCTGCTGTCAGTGGACTCGTGAGGTGGCGAGTGGTGGACTGGTGGTGAAGCTGTGTGTGTCTCCCCACAGTGGACTGCTGGGACGGGCCCGACGGGAAGCCCATCATCTACCACGGCTGGACACGGACCACCAAGATCAAGTTTGATGACGTCGTGCAGGCCATCAAAGACCACGCCTTTGTCACCTCGAGGTCAGTTGTCTGATTTCCAGGTGGTTCACTTTTAAGGGAAAGACCACTAAGGTTGAACAGACAGACAAACACCCCTCCCTATCCCCACATTCAGACATGCATGGAGACACAAATATACCAGCCTGCACTCCATCTTAAGTCACTCCCAAGTCTTTGGCTGAGTGATGGCGCCCCCTACAGGCCAAGAGCACAAGTCGCTGACTTGTTTCAGAGCCTGGAGAAGGCTGGCACTGGGAAACAGTGTTGCTGTTCAGTGACCTCAGCTCCCCCACGCTGAGCCCACCTTCCCCTCTGCTGGGCGGGCCTGGGTGGGGCAGCAGCTGCTCTGCCAGGCAGGCTCAGACGGAGGGCCTGCCTCCTTGCCCCCGCCACTTGCAGCTTCCCTGTGGTCCTGTCCATCGAGGAGCACTGTGGCGTGGAACAGCAGCGCTACATGGCCAGAGTGTTCAAGGAGGTGTTTGGTGACATGCTGCTGACGAAGCCCACGGAGGCCAGTGCCGACCAGCTGCCCTCACCCAGCCAGCTGCGGGAAAAGATCATCATCAAGGTAGGCGGCCTCGGGCTGCTGTCATTCATTCAGGGGAGCCAGAGGCTCAGCACTGGGCTCCAGGTCCCACTGCCCTGGCTCATGCCGCTGTCCTTACTAATCTGTGACCCTGGCAAGGTCAGTTAGCCTCTTGGTGCCTGTATGTCCTCATCAGTCTGGGGGCTGGATAATGATAGATCCCACATGGTTAGTGTGCTGTGTGCTTAGAACTGCACCTGCGTCATTGCAGTGCTATGTAACTATTAACTCACTCATTCCTCGGGCAGACCTTCACCACACCCCTTTTCGAGTCCCGTGCAAGGTGCTGGCATGCTCTTACTCTTGCAAGGTGCTAGGGATGCTCTTACCTGCAAGGTGCTAGGGATGCTCTTACCTGCAAGGTACTAGGGGTGCTCTTACCTGCAAGGTGCTAGGGGTGCTCTTACCTGCAAGGTGCTAGGGGTGCTCTTACCTTGCAAGGTGCTAGGGGTGCTCTTACCCTTGGGAGCTCCCAGTCTAGTGTGGGAGGTGGACTGGAGGTGAGCAGTTGCCCCACAAGGGCAGCATACACTCGTGGGTGGCGTGCCAGGTGCTATGGGAGAGATAAGTGATTGCTGTGCCCAGGAGTGCCAAGGATGCCCTGGACAGGGTGACACTGGGCACTTGTATGACTAGGAGAAAGAAACCTGGTATGTGGTGGCTTGAAGCATATAAGGGTTTATTTCTTCCTCATCTGAAGGAGAGTGTTCTGGAAGCTTTGAAGTCTGGTCCAAGGTCATCCAGGGACCCTGGATCCTGTTCTACAGTCTCCTAGGGAAGGGCTTTCAGCTGGGGTTCCACAATCCCCCAGGAATCCACAGATAGAACTCAGGGGTGGGGGTGATGTGGGAACTTGGGGAAAATGTTGCCTCTTTATTTTTATTAGCCTATAAGTAAAAACTTAACATCTCCTTCCTTTATGAATATTGGCAACAAACCACTTGGGGCTTTGCTACCAGCAGAAACCATGGATATTTTCATATCACAGTCACAGCTACCGCAAATATTTCTGAGTAATGTTGGGCGTGTCACCACTTTGAAATTATGGTAGTTATTAGAGCCGCCTCTACATCTTCATATAAGATATTAATAAAGAAAGCACATATTTTGTATATTGCAAATATTTTTTATTTAATATACTAATAATTGTATTTCAACATAGTTTCTCATAAACTTTTTTTTAGAGATTTTATTTATGTATTTTTAGAGAGGGGGAAGGGAGGGAGAGAGAGGGGGAGAGAAGCACTGATGTGAGAGAGAAACATTGATGGATTTGCCTCTCGAATGCGTGCCCTGACTGGGAACCGAACTTGCAACCCGGGTGTGTGCCCTGACCAGAAATTGAACCGGTGACCTTTTGCTTGCAGAATGACTCCCAACTGATGGAGCCACACTGGTCAGGGCTGTCTTATAATCTTGTACATTATAAACATTATTCTGAGAAAGGGGTCCTCAGTCTTCTTGCCGGCTTCAAAGGGAGTCCAAGGCACGAGTGGTAGAGGTTCTGCCCGAGGGCGCCGCCCTGGTAGAGGGCGCCGTGCATGGTAGAGCTCCAGCTAGTAAGAGGGGGAATGTGCCAGGGTCCAGGGCCAGCAATTTCTGGTAAACGTGTACATGTCAGCTGTACACGTCCCAGCCAGCCCTGTTCAGTGCACAAGAACCTGGGCATGGGACCATATCACCTGCAAGGGAGCCCGGGATATGCAGTCTCTAGTTGGGCAGCCAGTAGTGGAAGGAGTGAGATGGATTTCACTGACCACAGCAGGCTGATCTGAAAGGATGGATAGGCGTTTATTAGGCAGATACACTGGGGACAGTCCCTATGTGCCAGGAGGTCACGGTCTAGTGGGGAGACCGGCCCATCAACAAGTAGTAGCCGACAGTGTGAGGGGGCATTGGGGCCCACAGGTCTAAAAGCACCAGCATATTTGGAGGATTTGGCTAAGATCCTGGGGCACTTTTCTCTGAGACACTAAAGGAAGGCAGGACAGGAGCTGAGGCCAGGAGGGTCCACAGCTTCTCAGGCATTCGGTCCCTGAGTCTTCAGGGGACCTCATGCCATTTCTGTTCCCAGCTCATTGACACTGCCCTCTGTTTCTGTCAGGACAGCTCTCCGTGTGTCTCCAGGGATGTCCCGCTCTTGTCTCTGGGTGCGAAGTCCCCTTGTAGAGCCACCACTGCCCCAGCTGTGGTACTTCATGGCTCACCCCGTCCTGTTGCAGGGAAAGGGGATGGAATTAGCATTCGTGACACAATCAGTGTGCGCCATGCAGTGGTCCTGGGCTAGGCACGGTTGTGTTTGCTGATCCCATCCCATCATAACCCTGCGAGGCTTACCCGGGCCCCAGCCCACTTTGTGGGTGTGGGCGCTGAGGTGTAGAGGTTAAGTGACCCAGCTGCTCAGTTCCTGCCAAAGAACTAATTCAAAGCTGTGCAAGCCAGACCCCTCCTGTCATGCTTTAATGTTCGCAGGTGTCTTGAATGCCCCTTGGCTTACAGGAACCCACAGGGATGTCATTATACCCAGTTGACAGAGAAAGTTACTGAGATTGAGAAAGAGATTGTCACATGACCAAGGGTACACAGCCAGTAAGGTGACAGGCCTTGACTCAAACCCAGGTCTGACCCCCTATCCTGAACTCTCTTCACCAGGTCACCACTACCTGGGATTTACAAATGCTTGTCTAGGCAGGTGGTCAGTACTCACCCAGGTGAGCATCTCGTCATCATCATGTTAGTCTTACAGATGAGAAGTGGGAGGCTCCGAGAAGTGTGGCCACCTTCCCCAGGTCACACGGCCGACAGAGCAGCGGCAGTGCTGTTTGCACCCAGTCTTCTCCCTCTCCACCCTCAGGGTGCCTCTTGCTGCCCTACAGGCCCTGTGCCCCCCGGACTGGCTGTGGCCCTGCCTTCCCCTCTGTGTGCTGGAGAGGGGACTCACTGAGGATTTATTGCACACTTACTCGCTGCTAAGCTGCCACAGGAGATTCAACAGGGAATGAAACAAAGTCTCCGGGAACCTTTAACTGTTTTTAAAGGTCCACTTGCGTGGTCCTCATGGGACTCACACTCTAGCGGGGAAGACGGAAGGCAGACAGACAGGTTCACAGAAACACACAGAGAGCATGAAAAGTAGCTTCCAAGGGCTAGAGAGCGAATGAAGGGGTGGGAAGGGAAGTGTGGGTTCTTCTCAGATCAAGGAGCTGAGGACAGCTCTCTGAGGAGGTAACATGACACCCAGCGCAGAGCTGGTGTCGCGAGTGAGGAGCCAGGCAGGCAGGACAGGCCGTGCGGAGGTGCTGTGTGGCGCCGCAGACAGATGACTGCTGCCTTACACGTGCTAGTCGGGGGTCTGGAGGGGGACCAGCGACCTGTACTTTCCCCCTCAGCATAAGAAGCTGGGCCCCCGAGGCGACGTGGATGTCGACATGGAGGACAAGAAAGATGAGCACAAGCAACAGGGTGAACTGTACATGTGGGACTCCATCGACCAGGTGAGCCCCGCACACCCACCCCTTCCCAGACCTCGAGCGTCTCCGAGGCCTGCTGGACGGCGCAGCGGGTGTTCCTGCCTTCCTCCCATTTTTTACCCAAGTGAATTATCATTGTAATGAAGCTTTACTTTTCTTTTATGTTTTTAATGTTTTGTCTTGAAATAATTTTGTATTCAGTATAACATACTGTATGCTTACACTCGTACCCGCACACACGAAGAATATACCCTGCACCCAGATTCCCCCAGTAGTGACCTCCTACACGCTCAGAGTGCGATGGCTGTAACCAGGAGGTTAACGTCGGCACAGCACTGACTCACTCCTGGGCCTTACTCCAATAGCACACATTTGTCCACCACTGTCCTTTTTCTGGCTCAAGAACCAAGTTTGGCTGCAATGAGGCTTTTAGTTGTCCTGACTCCTCGGTCTCTTCCCGTCTGAGACAGTTCCACAGGCAACCTCGTTTCCTGGTGAGAAGAGGCATTTTGAGCCCTGACACCACATCTCGTATCCCTGAACCTAACGTGCACATCCACTTGAGTATATTTTTATGTGTCTATTCTTACGTCCTAGAAGTAAACACTGAAAATGGTTAAGGTTTAAAGAAAGAAGTGAGTCACAGTGAAATGTGGAAGAAAGGGTCTCTAAGCAAACTGGCTAAGGAATCCTGTAAGTCTTAAAAAGTGAATGAAATGAAAAAAGACGGTCATTACAAAAAAGAAAAAGTCATGAGGACATAAAAAACAATCCCATCATTCATGATGCTGTCAAATTAAATATGAAATAGAAAATTGGTATTATGTCATATCTACCCTTGGATACACTGAATAGAAAAGTTCTGAAAATGAAAAAAAGGGAACTCCAAGTAAATAGATGTTTTAAAAGACATGTCTCAAAGGCGGTTGAATTTTGTGGAACCACCATCAATGTCTATAAAGGTGGGAACGGCGAGCCCCAAGGTAATGCCAGGGTGATGCTTCCAGGCAGGGACCCTGGGCCCCCGAGTTGATGGGGTAGAGACTTTGGGGACAAGTTAATGCTGGTTGCACTTTCCAGAAATGGACTCGGCACTATTGCGCCATCGCCGATGCCAAGCTGTCCTTCAGCGATGACATTGAACAGACCATGGAAGAAGAAGTGCCCCAGGTATGTGGAGACCTAGGTGGCTCCTCTCATCTCTTTGGGTACCAAGGCCTCCCTAGCTCTTCTCTGATTGGCTGACTGGCCTAGGACTTAACCAATGAGATTCAAGGGTCATTCCTGCTCTCTGAAGGGTTTGAAGGGTATGTGCTCCCTGGAGGAAACTGGGGCTTTGATGTTCTGTCTGGCCCCACACCCTGGCCTGGTCTCCAGCTTTCCCTTTAGGCTGCTGGCCATCCTTGGTGCTGTTTCTTGAGTGTCGCTCCCAGGGCATGGCTCTCAGACTTCCTTTGCAATAGCATGAGGGCTCCACTGGGGATCCCTTACCCCTTGTCTCAGGAGGCCACCACAGATGGGGGCTGTCTAGAGTAGGTTAGCGGGCAGGTGAGGCCAGTGGAAACTGTCTTCCCAGACTTCTTGGGGTGAGGGCAGGCTGAGGCCAGCCTGTTTTCAGCCCCCCAAATCAGCGTGTGAAGAGGGACCAGTCTTATGATGCAGGGGGTCTGGCCTACGTTCTCAGAAACTCCTCCTCTCTCTCTGGCCCAGGATACACCCCCTACCGAGCTGCATTTTGGAGAGAAGTGGTTCCACAAGAAGGTGGAGAAGAGGACGAGTGCCGAGAAGCTGCTGCAGGAGTACTGCTCCGAGATGGGGGGCAAGGACGGGACCTTCTTGGTGCGGGAGAGCGAGAGGTTCCCCAATGACTACACCCTGTCCTTCTGGTAATGGCCCTCTGCCCGAGGCATGCCTGCCGCCTGCTCGCAGCGGGCGGGATGGGGGGCTGGGTGGCGAGTCGTGGGAGCTCAGGCCAGACGTGGGCAGGCCTGGACCAGAACCCAGACTTCATTTAGTGAGTGGTGTGGGCAGGGCTTGGGTGCAGTGAGTGAGGCCCCAAACTTGGCAGTCACAATTAGTGACATATCAATGCAATATTTTAAAAAAATCAAAAGTAATGCCAAAAAATGATGATGAAGAAAATATCAACATTTTAAATAAAAACAGGATCTGACTCTGCACTTAAGACAATGTGGCCTCACTCCCTTTCCCCTAGTCCCAGCCCTGGGTCAGGTGGTATGAGCCTGGGGAGTTCCCTCAGCCTCCTGGATTCTCTCCCTCCTTGTCTCTGAAACAGACATTCTAAAAGCAGCCTTATCGCGCTGTCGTGAGCTTTCTCCTTCACTCATGCATCCACTCGTTCACTCACTCATTCATCTGTGCCTTCATTCATTAAAAGACATTTATCCAGTGCTTGCTCTGTGGTAGGCACTGTGCTTTAGCAGTGATCAGACAGGCAGGGTCTCTGTCCTGATGGAGATTAGTCTGGTGGGGAAGGTGGACAGTGAAAGACTAATCACGTGACTAGTACATGATTGTAGTTGTGGTGAGTGCAATGAGAAACATGCACGATGTTATGAGGGTCTGTTAGAGAGGGATCTCATGTGGTATTGGGGGCCTGTTAGAGAGGGATCTCATGTGGTATTGGGGGTCTGTTAGAGAGAGGGATCTCATGTAATATTGCGGTGAGGGTGATGGTAAGGGAAGACTTCCTGAAGTAGTGTTTAAATTGAGACTTGAAGGATAAAAATTATAATAAAATATAAATAACTCTGATAGCTAACACATTCGTACCATGCACCAGGCAGCATTCCAGGCGCATTTGGTGTGGGGTCTCTCAGGACAGCTCTCTAGGACAGCTCTCATTACCTTCGTTTGGCCACTAGGATAATGATACAGAAGCTCAGAGAGGACAGCCCATGTGGCAGGGTCAGAACTTGAACCTGGGTCTTCTGGCTCCAGAGTAGGAGTTATGTAGGTAAAAGGGTGCAGTGGGTGGAAGAGGAAGGTGTGTTCTGAAATCCAGAAAAGGACCAGCCTGTGCTAAAGCCTGGGGTCTGTTCTAGGAGCAGAAGGCGGCCTGTGTGGTCACACCTAGTGTCCCCCTGTCGGGACCCCGGGCTGCACTTCTGGCCCCCACCTGTGTTCTCTGACGCCCAGGTGCAGGAGGGCCAGCTGGCCTGGGCTCTGATGTTGTCCCTCTGCCCACAGGCGGTCAGGCCGCGTCCAGCACTGCCGGATCCGCTCCACCATGGAGGACGGGGTCATGAAGTACTACCTGACTGACAACCTCATGTTCCCCAGCATCTACGCCCTCATCCAGTACTACCGCGGGACGCACCTGCGCTGTGCCGAGTTCGAGCTGCGCCTCACGGACCCTGTGCCCAACCCCAACCCCCACGAGTCAAAGCCGTACGTGAGCCCAAGCTCTGGGGCAGCACATCCATGGGTTTGGCCGGGTGCAGACACCCCGGCTGACTGAGGCCATCCATCAGAAAAGCCTTCCTTGTGGGTGGGTGGGGGCCCTAATTCCTCTGGGGTCCCCCAAAGTTCCCAGGGTGGCCACAGTTTCCAAATTCCTTTCCAGATACCCCTACTCTTGCCCCATTCTTTCTTCTCCCTTCCTTTTTTTCTGCTTTATCTTCACGGTCCTGAAGAATAATTTCAGATTAATTTTAGCCCAGTGATGTCTTTCTGTTTGTCAAAGATTGTTCCTGTTTGTCCTGACAGCAAACAAGGAAAAAATAGTGATAAAAGTTTCCCTTTATTTTTCACCTGGAAAAGTGAATATCAGTACTGCCATGCAAAGGGTTAACCAATTCTGGAGACAAAGACAAATACAAAAATTTTTAAGCAGGAAGCTGTTCAAGTACACATTTCTGAGAAAGCCATATAACTCACAGCAACTTTATTTTTCATTTCTCTTGTCTATATTCATACAGATTGCCTTTTAAATTTTGCTATTTCACTTTACAAGTAAGCAAGGACCAATGAAACAAACAACACCTCTGTCTACAATGCTGTTCGCTGTGGCCTCTGGCTCCAGCTCTCTGTGCCACTCTCGGTACTGGCGGCTAAGAGGCAGGCGGGGGTGGGGCGTGGTAAAGAAGGGGTTGGTTTATTGTCTTACGCTTCAAACAGATGCACTAGATCAATGTTTCACCCAAGCTATATCTTGGTGGCCTTTTTACAAATGCACTCTTCACAGGTCTTTTGGATGGGAGGCCCACAGGTCTCCATGGTGGTTTCTGGGGACTTGAGGCATCCTCAGGTGGGTGTGTCCTCTGTGGGCGGCCCTTCACCTGGCCCTTCCATGCTGCAGGTGGTACTATGACGGGCTGAGCCGTGGAGAAGCGGAGGACATGCTGATGAGAGTTCCCCGGGACGGTGCCTTCCTCATCCGGAAGCGGGAAGGCAGCGACTCCTATGCCATCACCTTCAGGTAAGCAAGGCGGGTGGGGCTGGTGGGGGGTGGAGCCTGCCGCGTGCTCTCCCCTGCTGCGTGTGCTCCCAAGGAGGCTCAGGAAGGCCGGGCATGGAGAACTGCAGGTGGAGGTTTATTTAGCTCATTGTTCTCTCCCTGGAGGGCCAACAATAATGACAGCAATAAAAATAACAACAGCAGCCTACATTAGTACGTGCTTTCGGTGTGCTGGGCACTGGTCTATATTCTCAACGATCTGCAATCATGATCATTATTTTTCAGAGGAGGACACTGAGGCACAGAGAGGTTGAGTAACTTGCTGAAACATGCAGCCAGCAAGTAGTGGGGCTGGGATTCAAACCCAGGCATCTCTGGTGGCCCAGACGAGTGATGTTACAGATCGGATTTCCTCCCAGCTTTACTTGCCACCCAGCACTGCCAGTGAGAAGGCTGTATAGACCAACCATCTCTAGGACTGTATTTCTCGGCTTTAATTCACTCCATGACACTGGACTCCTTCAGTTCCTGACAATGGCGGTGTTGGAAATAGAGTCCAGATCCGCTTCATCACGCTGTCCCTCCGTCCTCGCAGCCCCAGTGGGTTCTTGGCGATGCTAATAGAAGACTGGCTACTGTACATACGAGTCCCTAACCAATGTCCCAGACCCTGGGCTGCCTTTGAGGCTTCATCTGGTTGAGCCCTTTACTGTAGCTGCCGAGGGTAAATCTAGTTTTACAAGGAAGGACATGGAGGCTCAGAGAGGTAGAGTGAGCTGTCTGGAGCCACAGGGTGTAGCCGAGTTTCCGACTTGGGCCCGCTCCCCTCCAAAGCCTGTGCTCCTCACTGTGAGGTCTCAGGCAAGCAGCCTTCAAACTGGGTCCAGCAAGGCCTGTGGCTATTTTGCTCAGCCTGCATGGAGACGTTAAAAACTAAGAAATTTCACTTGAAAATTCAGGTTGCTTTTTATGAAACGTGGGAGGAGGCAGTAGCTGCAGGCCCATGCTCTCGCGTGGTGATGGAGGCTACCAGCTGACAGTGGGGGCCCTGGTGTGCCCGGGCCACCCCTGTTCCTTCCAGTCCTATTGCTCTGGCCGCCCCGGGTTCCTCTCCTGGGCTTCCCTTTCTGCGGTCAGTCATCTCCGAGCTGCCTTCGTGTGTGTGTGTGTGTGTGTGTGTGTGGTGGGTCAGGGGTAGGGGTGATGGTCATTATCACTGCCATTTACCGAGGACCTACTATGTGCTGGCGCTGGCCAGCATGGCTCTTTTGTGTTTCATGCTGCCAGCAGGGAGGCCCCAGATGTCTTGGCACTGGTCTTGCCCTTTGCCCTTTTCCCCAAAGCTTGTAGGGGTGCCGCCTCTGCCTGGATGGGAACCGGGCTGGCTTGAAGGAGCATCTGCTGCACCAGCCACCACACTGGATGCTGAGGTTCATGTCATAGCCTTGTCAGTCAGGATGCTGTTGGGTACGATTGACAGACACCAAACTCAGCGGCTTGAACCACCAAGATAGGTGGGATCCGCTGGCTACCTGCTGAGAGGCTCCAACAGGCCTGGGTGCAGGCCCCACCTGCAAGTCCTCGGGAGGCTGGCTGTGTGCCATGCTGCTCTCTCTGTGGCTTCATTTGCAGGTGGCTTTACCTGGGGGCCAGGACAGGGTCCAGCAGAAAGGACGAGTCCTGTCATGTACCTGATCTGGCCCCTGCTTGAGCTGGGTGCCATGATGCTGACTGGTTCCTTCAGCAGGCCGTGGGGTCGGGGTCAGTTCACTGGGACCATGTGGGTGAAGACTGGTGCCCGATTTATGTGTGTCCAGCATCCCGTCTGCATGTTTGTCATCCCCATGAGATCAGAGGTGCCCTAAAAGCCCCAGTTTTTAATTTTAAGGTATCAGTAAATGTTCAGTGAGCACCTACTATGTTCTAGTCCCTGGGCAGGGCTCCAGAAATACAGGAGTGACAACATAGCCTGGTCCTGCTCTCTCACGGCCGGTGGTCTGGTGGGGATGAGCGATGTCATCTTACTCTGAAGTGTTCCTGGCCGTTAACCAGTTTTCCCCTGGCTTGAGTGGGCTGGGAGACAGCAGGCGGTCAGGAAGCACGGGCTGAGTGAGTGTCTCTGTCAGGAAGGCTTGGTCCAGCAGGTTGCATCTCAAAGAGGAGGGGTGGGGAAGGCTGTTTCCGTTGTGTGGATGGTGAGTGCCTGGCTTTTGCCTGCTGCATGCCTGTCCGGGACCCTCAGTCATCATAAGAGTCAAAAATGACCCCCTCCTGCCCTGGCTGAGTGACTTAGTTGGTTGGAGTGTCATCCTGTGCACCAGAAAGTCATCGGTTCGATCCCCGGTCAGTGCATATACCTAGGTTTCAGGTTCAACCCCCCCAGTTGGGGCACGTGCAGGAGACAACCGATCAGTTTCTCTCTCACAATGTTTTCCTTTTTGCTCTTTCTCCCTTCCTGTCTCTCTCAGATCAATAATTTTTTAAAATAAGATCATATCCTTGGGTAAGGATTAAAAAAAATAAGACCCCCTCCTGTCCTGGACACACAGACTTTTTCAAACTTACTCGGTCAGGGTGTGGGTGGGCATTGCTGTCCCTCGTTGCCTCTGGGAGGGCAGCCACGTGAATAGACCACTGCACTGTTGTGTGACAAGGGCCACCGAGACAGGTCAGGCAGGCTACAGGAAATAGGGGCTCGAGGGATGGGGCGGAGCATGTGCTCCAGCAGAGGAGGACACAGGTCTGGGGCCCTTTTCCCCCCCGTACATATGTTTGCGGGGTGCCTCCACTGGGTGGGGCATGGTTCTGGCCTCTGGGAGCGTGCACTGGACCTCTGGGTGGGTTTCCACAGCAGAGGAGAAGCATGGGCTTTCAGACCCTTGGGAAGAGGTGCAATTGTTGTCTGGGTGCGAAGGGTGGAGACATCCCTCGGTGGGACCAGGTGCTTCTCGGCGAAGCTGAGACCCTCAGGATGTGGTGACCGCTGACTTGTAGCAGCACACACGCCTGAAACCCCAGCTCATACTCTAGCCCCGTTCCTGTCTCCTTCTCTTGCCCGGGGAAGCTCGTTTTGGCTCGACCTTGGCTCTATTTTCTTAGCCCTTCATTTATGAAGTGCCCTCTGGGTGCAGCACACATTGCACAGGGGTTACCCTGGGTCACCTGACAGACAGCAGCCCTAACCCTGCCCGGAAGACAGGTGCCGCGGCTCCCCGGCACCCTGGGGAGGAAGCAGGCCCAGAGCAGCTGCCTAAGGAAGAAGCCAGAACCTGACCCAGCCCTTCGCAGCCTGCAGCCTCCCTGCCCTGGGGGGCTTTTGTAAAAAGCTTTAGAGTTAATTTTTAACTGTCTAAGTGTATTCTCCTTATAAAAAATTGAGACACTGCAGTGCAGGCTACAGCCCCTTGTGGTCCTGTGTATCTCAGTCCGTGTCCTGGTGGAAAGCACCACTTTCTAACTAGCATCTCCATCTAGAAAAACAGACACACGTGTGTTGCACACCCATGGAAAATGTTTAGTGCCGACTGTGTGCTTTGTTTTTAAAAACGCAAATGGGATCATGCTGTGGTTTTATTCTGCAACTTGTCTTTCTACTCAGCAGTATTTCTTTAAAAAATTTATTAGAATATCACTGCAAATAAGCTACTGAAACAGAAGTCTTCTAGCATTTTTTAACAGGGCTTTTTGAAGAAACGACTTAAAGAGGATGTGTGTTTTATTTAAAACCATAAAAAATGTCTCCAAGGTGCCCCATTTTAAAAAAAGATGAGTAGTTTACCCATAGTAACTGCTGTTAGACAGTTTTAATAAAAAGATGCTCTTGGCTATAAAGTTAAGGTCAAAACTTCTCTTCCCAAATGTTTCTATTCCTGCTGATAAAAGCTAGTAAGACTGAGGAGTCCGTTTTCTTATGGATTTTTTTCTGCCTCTTGCTTGAAATGGGAGATAAAAGACTTGTTTTCTTTCCCTGGCCAGGTGGCTCAGTTGGTCGGAGTGCTGTCCTGACCACCAAAGGGTTGTGGGTTCGATTCTTGGTCTGGGCAGTACCCAGGCTGTGGTTTCAGTCCCGGTTGGGGTGTGTAGGGAAGGCAACCAAGGGATGTTTCTTTCTCATATCAGTGTTTCTTTCTCTCTTTTTCTCCCTCTCCCTCTCCCAGCTCCTCCAAAATCAGTAAAACGTGTCCTCGGGTGAGGATTAAAAAAAAAAGACACTTTGTTTTGGGGAAAAATGCCATTGTTGACTAGTTGGGACATTTTTAGATAAGATTTAAGGATTCAGGCGTGCAGTCCCAGAGTAAAGGACTAGAAAGTAAGTATTTTAAGCCTTTCAGGCCAGATGGTCTCTGTTGCAACTGTTCCACGCTGCCATTATAGAGTGAACGCAGCCACAGGCAATGCATAAACAACGAATGTGGTCTTGTTTCAATAAAACTTTACTTACAGAAACAGGGGCAGGGAGGACTTGGCCTGTGGGTCATAGTCTGCCAGCCCTGATCGGTGTTCCCAAAGTCAAGTCCCGTAGCTGGGGAGGGGGGGACGGGCAAGATGAGCTAGCCGTCCATGGAGTCACCCTGCAGCATTTCTCCCCAGTCGCTCCTGCACCTTCCCAGGCGCAGACTCTTCCGTGTCGGCTTTGAAAAGACCCACATCATCGTATTCCATGGACACGCTGCACCCTGTTTATTATCTGGTCCCCCAAGGATGGATAACTAGGTAGTTTCCGAGAGGTGGGGATTGCATAGCAGTTGTTTGGCTGCCGGGATCTCAGAGCGTCAGCCCCCTGTGGTCTTCCCCCTCCAGGGCCAAGGGCAAGGTGAAGCACTGTCGCATCAACCGGGACGGCCGGCACTTCGTGCTGGGGACCTCCGCCTACTTCGAGAGCCTGGTGGAGCTCGTCAGTTACTACAAGAAGCACGCGCTGTACCGGAAGATGAAACTGCGCTACCCCGTGACTCCCGAACTCCTGGAGCGCTACAGCATGGTAGGCGGTGGGCTCCCGCATTGCTTGGTGGAATGTCTTGTCCGAGGTTAGGATTCATCTGTTCACTCAGCAAACCTTTACTGAGCACTTGCCATGTGTCTGATGCTGCTCTAGTCCTGGGGGGTGCAGCATCGAAAACAGTGGACAAAGACCCTGCCCTGACGCTGCTTAGAGTGGGGGCAACAGATAATAAATGAGATAAATTTAAAACTATACAGAGCACTGCAAGGTAGTGATAGGTACTATGGAGAAAAACGAATGGGAAGGTGGAAAGGTGTATTCAGGGTGATGCAGATGCAGTTCTCCACGGGGGTCTGGGAAGAGCTCACTGAGGAGACTTCTGAGCAGACAGCAGCAGGGCGAAGGAGCCAGTCGTGCAGCTGTGTGGAGGGAGGACAGCAAGGGCAGAGGTCTTGAGGTGGGATGGGCCTGGAGGTGCAGAGAGGAAGCCAGTGTGGCTGGAACTGAGTGAGCCGCGGTGGGAGGAGAACTTTGTAAGAATGGGGGTTACCCGGGGCCTGCATGGTGGGGTGCCGTTGTCAGACACTGGCTTCTATTTCAGGCCATTGCAGGGTCCTGGGCAGGAAAGAGACCTGATCTGATTACCTTGCCTCAGTCCCGATCGGGCATGTTTATTAACTTACTAGTAAGAGATTTACTGTGCACCTGCCCTGGGCCAGGAACTGTCCTAGACCCCAAGAGTGCGGTGGAACAAGGCTGCCCTGGGAAATCTGGGCTCTAGTCAGGGGAGCTGGACAACAAACGGTCACATAATTAAGATGTCGTCAGAAAGGAAGGAAACTGAACAGGATGGTGCATAGGGGTGGGTGTTACACCTTAGATTGGGGTGGCCAAGGTCAGAGAAGGCCTCCTGCTGAGGGTTGGACTGTGAGCGGAAACCTGGAAGAGGGAGTGAACTGGCCACGGTTGCTGTGTTGCTGTGACGGAAGCTGGTTCTGGCTGGGGAGCAGCCGCCATGCAGGCCCTGAGGTGGCTCCGAGGGACAGAGAGCCGGCTGGTGTGGCCAGAGCCCAGTGGAAGAGGCAGAGGGAGGGTAGGGTGGCTTGTCAGTGTGTGTGGTAAGTGTTTAACCAGTTCCCTGCGGAACAAAGCCCGGTTTGTGGCCCTGGCCGGTTTCCGTGGTATAAATACGTCACGGTGGCCAGTTTCAAGGGACCGACCCTGACTGCGGGTCAGGAAGAGACGTGCGGGCTCCAGCACACTCAGGGCTTGCGTTTTAACAACGGAGCACAGTGCCTTGCACACAGTAGGCCAGGATAGGGCCTCTCTCAATTTGGAGTAAAGTTTCCAAATTAGGGGAAACTTCTTTATAGCTTCTTACTCTCTCTCCCCACAAGACAGGAGTAAACTGTGAGGTTTCCTCTCTTCTGCCAGAGGGCAGGAGACCCCCACGGCAGCTGGGATCCTTGGCTGTCACAGGAGCATGGATGCTTCCATTTATTTTTCTTTGTTCTTTTTCAGGAAAGAGACATAAACTCCCTGTATGACGTCAGCAGAATGTATGTGGACCCCAGCGAAATCAATCCTTCTATGGTATAGTCTCGACCTTTAATTCACACTATTATCTGGTCATAGGGCGAGAGGTAGGGCGAGAGGACATTTTGGGAAACTTGGCTAAAAAATATATATATTTTTAAGCGGAAATGATGATTGACAACATGACATTTCATGTCATGGACGAGGTTAATAGAATTCTTCCTAACGTGACCATGCCTTGCTAAAATCCTGAGGTTTGATGAATCACCTTTGGGCCACACGGCTTCTAATTAAAAGTTTTCCAAATGTTTCTTGCTCCCTGATGAGTTGGTGGTTATAAATTCCGCCTGGTTCGCCCACCTCCTCACAGTGAGAACACTATCTCATATTCCCGCCCCGCCTGTGGTGTTGGTCTCACGCAGGCAGGTTGGATTTTACTCCTCGCTCCTCCTTGCTCTAGTTTCATCTCAGATGCGGTTTGAGCCTGCAGAGGGGGAGGGATGCGAATTTTCTGTTTGAGGGGCGATCTGGCACACAGTTAGTATGAAGTCCTCAATCAGGAAGGGGCCCCGCGGGCAGGCTCTGTAGAAAGCAGAGACACATTTATTACTTTTTAAACTTATAATCCTTGGCCAGTGCAAATCCCTTTCAGCAAGAAATGAAGCCTTGAACAGTTGTTGGCAAATGGAGCTGTGTGCAAAATGTGTTAGGGGACATGGCTTGGTAGCAGAAACTTTTATTGGAGGTGACACACACTTTGGTTACGAGAATGGCATGGCCTCCCGTCAGCCAGGTGGCAGGGATGGTGGAGACCGTGGTAGCCGGCGGAGCACACCGCCCACCTCAAGGGCAGCCGCTCCCATGAGCAGTCCAGAGAGCAGGCCAGGCCTTCCGATTTCTCAAGACAGGCCAGTAATCTAGGTGTCTTACATGGAACCTCCACATGTTCAAATCCTGGCAACTAACTTACATTGTAGAGAAAAGTCTTCCTGTACCATACAAGGCAAGCAGAACACGGCTGCATGCTGAATCTGATTGCAGGCTGCTCAGCTGAGGCAAATGCCTCAGAATAAAATTATTACTGTTATTATGATCAAAAAATGATATAACAATAAAGAAACCACTTTGGAAACAGGAAGAAATAATCAGCCTTGTCCCACCACCCTAACGCAGTAGCCGCCTGCATTTCTGTGGGGTGGTCCACCTCTGCCGGTCCATGTCTGTGTCTCACAGTCCCCATCACCTGCCTCTGGCATTTTCATTCGCTGTGTTCACCTGCCACTGGGCCACGTGTGGACTTCTCCATCACTAATCTTCTTAGTGACCGTTTTTGTGTAACCTGGCAGGCCAAGGAATTCAGATGAAATATATGGCTTGGAATTTTAACTTTAAAAAAGAATGTTTTCAATGCTGCACAATGTTCTGGGTGGCTGTGCCAGTTTAGCTGTGTCCCCATCAGTAGCCATGTGAGTCATTTCTGATCTTTGCTTTTCTGGTTAGCCCTGAAACGGACTTCACATGAGAGGTTCTTGGCATCTTTTGCATTATTTCCTTTAGATGAGATCTTAGAACTGGAATGACTAGACTGATAATAATAGGTAACATATCAATGATCACACGTTAAGCATTGTTCTAAGCACTTGACAGCTCATTCTCACAACAGCCCCATACAGTAGGTGCTATTTTTTTGTGCCCATTGTACAGATGAGGATGTTGAGGCACACTGAAGTGAAGGTCACATAGCTAGAAAGGTGTGGAGCTAGAATTTGGACCCAGGCAGCTGGGTGCGAGGTGTGTGCTCTTAGCCACTTGCACCGCTGTATGCCTGCTTGGTCATCTGATGGGTGGCTTGTTTCTGGGCAGTTCCTGAAGGACCACCTGTCAGGCTGGAGAACTGCTCCTTGCGGAAGCCATTGTATGCCACTCCCACTTCTGCCACTGGCTGCGTCTTCCTTGGAGGCTGGCAGTGACCTGCGAAGTTTCACAGGGAAAGATGTAGCTCTAATTCTCATGGCCACCCTTGGAGCAAGACGCACAGGCAGAGCAGGCTCTGTTTGCAGTGGAGGAGACGAGGGCAGGAGGTCCGGTTAGCCTCTGGTCCAAGTTCCTGTGGAACTTGCAGAATCCAGATTAGATTGCTCCTTAAGGAACATCCATGAGCTATGGCAGTGGCTTAAGTTAATTGATTCATCTTTACAGTCAGTCACCTGCCAGCTGGTTGACCTTAGGCATGGATACTTCATCTCTTTGTACCTCAGTTTCCTAACCTGTAAAGTGGGCATAATAATGCTGCTACCTACTTGTTAGGGTTGTTGGAAGGATTAAAGGAGATACCATAGATAAAAGGCCTAGAGCAGTGTTTTTGGCTATAGTAAGCCCTTAATAAAGGTTAGATGTCATTTTTGTTATTACATGCATTATCTCATTTAATAGGCTCAACAACCCTGAGAAGCATGTAAAGTTTTACTTCCCATTTCCCAGATGGGGAAACTGAGGCTGAGAGAGCCTCAAGGTTATGTAGTAGTAAGGACCAGAGCAGTAACTTGAACCCACGTGTTTGACTCCAGAGACTCAGCTCTGAGGAGCAGTTCTACTGGATTCCTTGTAAAATCCATTCCCCTTCCCTTGGGTGTGGGGAGATGATGTTGCTGATCTAAACAGGCCTGACAGTTTCAGAGGTTTTCCCATTAATATTTGCTTGCTGCATGGGTATTCATTTTGCCATGGATTTATGCTTGCCAAGCAGGCATTAAAACAGATTTCATTGATGACAAATTTTATTCTGAGTAAGTCCTGGCTTGTTTCTCTCAGTGCAGCAATCACCTTTTGATGAATTCTATGGAGGAGTTCCTCAGTTAGTCCTGCAAAATGTCAGTGTCCTTCAGGAATCTAGTTAGGGGACCCTTAGCCTAGGTAAATAGTGGTGAGGCCCAGGTTGGCCAGGAATGGTATTGAGTTTGAACTTCTGGGAGGAATGTTGAGCGCAGACACTGAGTGAGGACTTAGTGCTGGTTGTGATTTAATCTGAAAGCCATATCCTTTCTTTGTTGAGGAAATTGAACAATTTTGGGTGCCCTTGGCTCTGACTGGGCCAGTCCCCATTCCTACACGCTGGTGACTTTTTGAGACTATGGAGCCTCCGCAATGCTTTCACTTTGCCAGAAGATGGCGCTGTAACCCCGGACTGAAGCGCCTGGTCCCTAAAGTGAAGAACCAAATGTGCTAGTAGGCTTCCCTCTGCTCATGTCAGGGGCCTGACCTTTTCCTTTCTGTTTTCCCTGAAAGCCTCAGAGAACTGTGAAAGCTCTGTATGACTACAAAGCCAAGCAGAGTGATGAGCTGAGCTTCTACCGTGGCGCCCTCATTCACAACGTCTCCAAGGAGCCCGGGGGCTGGTAAGGCTGAGCCGCTTGGTGGATGAACTTGACTGGTCACATTTTGGTAGTGAGACACAAGTGCTGGCTGAGCTCTGACCCCTCTTATCTGCGTTCTGAGCTGTCTTTGACCTGTTCTGCCTTCTCTGGGAAGTGGCTTGATGCGTGCGTGCTCTGTTCAGAAGAGTGGGTAAGCAACAATAATAACAATTATTATTATATTACATAGATTAACATCATATCACATCATATTATATATTAATTGTAATAGCAGCTACCGTCTATTGAGGTCTTACTGTTTGCCAGGCACTATGCTAGTTGCTTTCGTACGTCATCCAACCAAATCCTCATTACAACCCTGTGGAGTTGTGACTATGATTATCCCCATTTTACAGATGTGGTGAATGAGGCTTTCCACAGTTGCACAGCTATTAAAATGCACAGGCTCTCCCCATTATATAAGCCTGTGCATTATTTTAAATTCAAATTCTTATGCAATGGCTTAATCCCGTGCCCTATGTAATGGCCCCATCCTGGGCTGAAGAGGGCACATTTTAGGCCAAAGGTACCTGGTGTGCTAGGGCTTATTAGCTCTTTTCTCTTCCCATGTGGAAAAAAAAATTCGTTGCCCAGCCATAGGCTCTGGGGTAGGGAGTTTTGTGGGGTGATTCCTACCTTAGAGCGGTAAGAATTTGTTCATAACCGTGAGCACCGGCAGGGATTCAAGCACCTCCCAAGATCAGGATCTCTTCTTCCTGAACCTGATAGCTGAACCTGACCTAGAACTCTAAATAGCAGCTCAAATTGTGTGCCTCTGTGTGTTAAGCTCTGTTTTAAACACTTCATTTGAAATAACTCATTTAATCCACACAATGACCCTATAAGGTTGGTTCTGTCAGTACCTGTATTTTATAGACAAGGAAACTGGCACAGAGAAGTATAGTAAGTTGTCCAGGGCCACACAGCAAGCTGAGATTTGAAGCCAGGCCTTCTGACTCCAGAGCCCACACTCCTAACCTAACTCATGTACAGATGGGGTCCAGAGGTTTTCAAAGTTTAATTTAGAGAACCTCCTCTCCAACCCACTTCTTACCTGGATTTCCCAGAGTCCAAAAAGGTAACGGCAGAGCTATCTGTCCCCCATCTGGCCTCCCCACTGGAACCTAGAGGCCCCCTTGCAAGGTCTCAGCCCCAGATTGCCAACCAGTGTTGTCCGTCTGCCTCCCTCCACAACAGAGGTTTGACTTTCCAAGGTCCCTCCTGCCGAGTGGCTCTGCCAGGTCTCCCGCAGGCCTCAGCACCCCCTCGCTGTGCCTTTGCACCCTGCCTCTGTTGAGGTCTCATTTCTGTCTGTGAGGATGACTGACATACATAGCTGTGGGTGGAGCCCGGGTGATCACTGCAGGTCACACCCTTGTGCATGGGGGCAACAGCTCATGCCTTTCTGCTCCTCTGGTGCGCATGTCCACTCGTTCCCAAGGCTGTTGTTCTGAGAAGACGAGCGAGCCTGACATGAGCGCCTTTGCTGAGGCGCTGTGGGCAAACCACCCAGCTGGTGTTCCCCCTTTCTCCTCTTCTTCAGTGACAATAGTGCCATCTAGGGGGGTGCCTGTGTCAGACCCCCTTTTGGTGCATCCTCCCAAACTGACTGCAGTAGAGCTGAGGGGACCAAATAATTTTTGTGCGTCCTGGGATGTAATTGAGAGTGAAGAGAATGTTATTGTTAATAATCACGCCTGGAGAGCAGGCACAAATCACTCAGTTCTGGGAGAACAGTCCCCCTGAATGCAGCCAGCTTTTGCCTTAGATGGACCTGGAGAAATAAAGGCAAAAATGGCATACAGCTGGCGAGCCTGGATCTGCATGAGGCTGTGGCACAGTTGGCCTTCACTCTGCTTGTTTAGGTCGATGAACAGTGGAATGTTTCCCACCACTCCCAGTACAGCTTTGATTGAGACTGAGGAAGGTCTCACATAGTGGGGAAAGTGGACTGCTCTGACATCTGTAGGGACAGGTGCCACTGGAGCACAGAAAAGCACTCAGCCTAGGAGGTAGTCAGGCAAGGCTCCCTGGAGGAGGCACACCTGCGCTGAACCTAAAATGCTTAGTAGGAGCAAGCTGGATGCGAAGGGCACAGACCCAGGCATGGAAGCTGGGCAGCCTAGCAGGGGCACAAGTGGGGGGTGACCGGTTGTTTGGAAAGAATGTCAAGTTTGGGCCATGGGGAGCCAGGAGTCGAGGGAGGTCCTAGAGCCCGTGGGGTCAGACCATGTGGGCTCTGATTGCCAGGCTGAAGAGTCCAGACTTGATCCTGACGGGTTCGGGAGCCATCAGTGCGGCGTGGTCAGAGGCACATTCTGGAAAGTGCTCCCAGCTGCAGAAAGTGGCCCACAAGGGCTGTTGGAGGGAGGAGCCCTGCACGCCCAGGCACTGGATGTGGGGGAAGAATCTTGGAAATGCCACAGTTGAGTCCAGACATGAACATAGCTCAGTTGTGTCCCATGCTGTCACCAGTGCTGCTACGGAGGTAGGAAGGAGGTTGTGGTGGTGTTTTACCTGAACAGCAAGAACACTGTTGAGCGCCTACTGTGTACTAGGTGCTATTTAAAGCTCTCAGCACATGTTAACCCATGCAGTCCCAATAAATCCTCTGAGGGAGGCACTGGGATTACCCCCATTTTACAGATGGCACAGAGGATCCACGTAGTTGGCCATGGAGCTGGAATTTGATTCCAGGCTGTTTGGCTCCAGAACCTTCTTTATCTCCCTCTTGTCTCTGAACTCACAGAGCTCCCTGCTCTAGAGCAGAGCTTGTCTCATGTGGCCTGTGGAGTCCACGTGAAGCACTGGAACTTTTGACTTGTGGTGTCTTTGACGGAAAGGCGAGAGGATTCCCCCCCTGGTCTCACTCATTGCTGATGCAGAAAAGCAGGGGAGCCCTTCGGAGTGCTCCATGCTCTCAGCACCTCCTGTGGCCTCTCGGTCACTCGCCCTTTCCCCCGCCTGCAGCTGGGATCTAAGGAGCAGTAATGGATTGTTAACACTGCCCGGCGAGTTCCTTGATGCCCTCTGTGCTTACCTAGGTGGAAAGGAGACTATGGAACCAAAATCCAGCAGTACTTCCCGTCCAATTACGTCGAGGACATTTCATCGGCTGATGTGGAGGATCTGGAGAAGCAGGTGAGGCTCCATCGTTGCAGAGAGGGACCTGCCGCTCTTTCGGGGAACCCACTGAGCCATCTCAGTGGGTAAATTTTACACACGCTGCTGTGTGGTCCCCGTGGAGCCCTGACACAGTGACGTGGAAAGCAGGATGGTCCCCTGAACTGTCGTGGGTGAAAGTCACTGTGACCGACCATGTTTTAAATCAGGTTGTGCTGGGCTGGAAGGCTTTGGATATGCAGGAGAAATCTCTCTAGAGTGAAAATGGCCAAACAGGGAATTTGTCCTTTGCTTAAAGCAGCTTGCAAATGAAACACATTTAGTTTGGCCAGCCAGCCATTCAGAACATGCTTGGTGTGAATAAGTAAGTGGGCCAAGTGCAAGGTGAGTTGAGGCCTTCCTGGTGGCATTGCAAACCTGGTTTCTGTTCCCTGCCTTCTCTTGCCCGGAAGGCTCGAAGAGCAGCCACTTTCAGTGCGATGGCACTGTACCAGGGATGAACTCTTTGTATTGAGGACTTTAAGGTCCTGTTTGAGCCCAAGGAATTTTCTAAGGGAGTTGGGGCAATCTGGGAAGGCTGCATGGAGGAAGGGGCATTCGGGCCTTAAAAGACAAGTTAGAGATCAACAGCAAGATACTGACAGGTGAGAATTAATTCTAGGTGGGAAGTGCAGCCCAAGCAAAGGTGTGGTGGTGGGAACGTGATTGTGTTCAGTGTGTTCAACCTGAGGCAGAGAAATTATGCCCTTTCTGTGTCAGTCCATGGTGCCCCTACCCACACAGCATTAGCCTGGTGGAGGGGTGGGGGAGTAACGCAGTGGGCGGACGCACAGTTCTGCCAGCTCTCCTCACACCTGGGTGTTCCCTGTTGCACCTGGGCCCTGGGAGATGGAGCCAGAAGGCTGACCGGGGCTCCCAGAGAGCCTGGAAGTCAGATCACAGGGTGTGGATGTTGCTCCCACGGGACTTGGAGAGTCACAGAAGGCTCTTGGGCTGGACTTTAGGAGGCCAGATAGTCCCATCTCGTAATGTCAGAAAAAAGGGCCTGAGATGTTTTTGAAGCTAGATCCGTGGAAATGCTCCCAAACCAGTTCTGGAATTCACAAGGCCCATTCTTATGGATTGGAAAATGAAATGCCAAACCTGCCAGCACCCCTCGCTGCTCGGCCCCTGTCAGTCACAGGCTTCATTATTTAGCTCTCTCCCCGTGGACGTATCCTGTAATGAAAATGCATTTTAAACAGTTCCACCGGCAGTGTCTCTGCTAAACGTTGTGCTTTGGAAACTGGTTGTCTTTTATGATTATACCTGTTAAAACTAACATGAGTTACATCTTATTTCTTCACAGATTATTGAAGACAATCCCTTAGGGTCTCTTTGCAGAGGAATACTGGATCTCAATGCCTATAATGTTGGTGCGTTCACACATGGCCTTAGCCTGGATTCCCACCCAAATCCCCTCACTGCGAGTCTGGCCTCAGAACCACCCCCAGCAGGGAGGCAGCTCTCGCTGAAGTTGAGTATTGGGCCAGGCTGGTCCCTGATTGCAGAGTTAGGTCTGCTATTCATATCTGCAAAGTGCTAACGCTGAGTCTTGTGCAGAGTAAGTGCTAGACAAGTGTTAGATGTTGTTATTCCCAATGTCTTCATCATTTCAGGGATCTGCCTGGGTTTCCCACGCTTTTCTAAGAGGGGCTGGGCTCTTGGCCCAGCTGCGGTGGAGCACAAAGTTGGGAGTGTCTGGTTCTAAGCCCAGCTCTGCCTCTCGGTTGCTATGAGACCCTGGGCCTGTCACTTCTCTCTGCCCCTCTACTTCCTGGCTGCTCAGCTGGGCATCAGGAAACCTGGCCTGCCCACCTTGGTGCAAGGGGAGATGTGAATGCACAGCCCAAGCACACAGGTGCACACAGCAGTGCAGGGGCTGTGAATTACAGGGGGTTCCTGAGCCCTGACCACGCCTCTTTTAAGTGGGGACACAGCAGCTTCCATTTGAAGGGACTGAAGGCAGTGAGGAGAACCATCTGGGCAAGAAGCCCACGTGGCATTCTTCTTGGGGCAGCCTGAGTTTCCACAGCTCCGAGCAGCCCGTCAGTTCACCAGCCTGGGCGTGTTCCATCCAAGGCCTTTGCTGGGGAGGCCCGAGCATGGTCCAAGGCCTCAGACAACAACAGTGCCGGGAAATTTCTGCTTCAGTGTCAGCACTTTGCTTCCTCCATTTATTGCCTGTTTCCACCACCACCCCCCACCCTCCCGGCCAACGATCTAATAGGGTAGGTAAGAGAGGGACTCTTGATTCCAGTTAACAGATGAGAAAACCAGGCCTGTGAGCACCCACCAGCCCTGCCTGAGGTTCCCAGGCAAGTTAACGGATGAGCTGGGACTCACCTGTGTTGCTCTTTGTGTCGTCTTCTGCAAGGTGCTTACAGGGTACAGGTAGATGGCTGCGTGGTGACAGACGGGAAGCTTGGAGTCAGGCCTCATTCAGGCCTCAGCTTTGCCGTTACTAGCTATGTGACCTTGCACGTGTCACATTCCCTCAACAGGTCTCTGTGTCCTCTCCTGTAAAGTGGATATGACAAGAAAGCACCCCAAAAGGTTGTCATAGGGATTAAATAAGATATGGTGCGTGTAATCTGCTTACAATATTGCCCGGCACATAAGAGCTCAGAGAAGTTAGTGCATAATCTTACTTGGCAGGTTATTTCTCTTCTCATAGCCTTAATTTCCTTACCTAGAAAACACTTTCTCTACAGAGAGAATCTCTTCCAGGGCTCCCTCCTACTGGCGATCCTTGGTGTCCCTTGCTTGTGGCTGCATCACTCCAGTCTCTGCCTGTGTCTTTGATCGCCGTCTTCACTGTGTCTCAGATTTCGTTCTTCTTTCTCTGATAAGGGCACTAGTTCTTGGAGGCAGGGTCCACCCTAACTCCATGGACGGTCTCATCCTGAGATCCTCAGGTACACCTGCAAAGACCCTGGTTCCAACTAAAGTCACGTTCATAGGCACCGGGGGTCAGGCTGTGGGCATATCTTTTTGGGGAATACAACTCAGGCTGTTGTGCACCCAAACCAGTAACATGTGTCAAGAGTCCAGACACTGCTCGATACGAAGCAGGTGTCCCCATCAGCACTGACCGCTGGGCTCATGACAGAGTGGCTCGGGCAACGCGAAGTCTGGTCTTCGTGGCTTTCTGACAGGCTGATCAGGACTTGTGGTGTTCTCTCCCCAAAGTGAAAGCCCCACAGGGCAAAAACCAGAAGCCTTTCGTCTTTATCCTGGAACCCAAGAAGCAGGGGGACCCTCCGGTGGAGTTTGCCACAGACAGGGTGGAGGAGCTCTTCGAATGGTTCCAGAGCATCCGGCAGATCACCTGGAAGATTGACACCAAGGTAGGCCCTCTGCTCACCTGGGCTCAGGTGGGCCTGGTATTTTTAGGTCTCTGGCACTCTGCAGAGACATAGGTGGGTCTGGACAGCAGGAGGAGCAGGCCTGGGGGCCACACATAATTCAGAGCAGCGATGAGATGGGTTCAGAGAGTAGGGTAGCACCCATCATTTTGATAGAGGAAAGGGATGTTGGAGATCCCCCTGGGAACTTCAGAAGGCTGAGTGTGTGCAGTGACTCTTGGTGTTTGGGGCCATATGTTAACATGAAGGATTTGCCTTTTTTATTGTATTTTCTCGTCTCTAAGAAGTATTCAAAGCAGGCCAGATCCCTCCCACAGCAAGGGCCACTGGGCTTGCCTCCCTGGGCCTGCAGTGGACTCTGGGAAAAGTGTATTGACAGGACCCTGTTCTCTGCCTCCAGAAGTTTGTGTGCTTGTGGAGGAACTTCCACTCTCGATGGGCATGAACTTTGCAGGGTTATCCTGAGTGGTGGTGCATTAGTGTTGAGCGGGAAGTGTTTTGAGAAGGGTCAGGTTCTGGGTAAGAAGAAGAGGTTTGGTTTGCCTCCTGGAAGGGCTGTGCCCTGGGCAAGCAACCAGATGTCTCTGCACCTCAGTTTCCTCTTCTGCCAACCAAGGAGCCAGGCACCTACCTGAAAAGGGGACGTGAGGATGAAATGAGGTGCAGCATGAAAGTATGGGGCGTGGCGCCTGGCATTCTGCGAGCGCGCAGTTCCTGACAGTATTTAACTGTCACGTCATGGTCACACCAGGAGGGCATGGGGAAGCGTGAGGTGGCATCTCCTCTTTCTTGTGGCCGTAGAACTGGGAAGAAATTTTAGGGTTTCCCACTTGCTTCTAAGACAGGTCTTGACCCAAAGGACTGACTTTAGTTTTCTCAGGACCTCTTGGGCTCCTTGATGGGTTCTCTTCCTTCAATGAACTTGGAAGGCCAGGCACCAGCAGCCCAGTCTCTCCCTCCCCTGCGGGACCTCACAGCTTGGCCAGTCCCCGGTCCCTGTGACTCACCCCTTTAACACCCTGGAGTGGAGTCCTCATTTTTAGATGACTTTATAGAGAGCTAGTGGGCTGAGCACCCTCCCTGGTGGGGCTTGTCGTCTTTCCCATCCCAGGATCTAGCCAGAGGCCTCACACCTGGGTCCTCATTCTTCCCAAGGCTTGTCACTCATCACCAGTCACTCACGATGAGCTGTGGCCCGAAAGTTTCTTTCTTCCCACGCTTCCTGGTGGGAGCATCTCATTTATCCCTGTGCCTTCAGTGTACTACAGCTCCCAGACACAGGGGGGCGCCACTGTCCCAAGGCTCATTTGAAAGTTCATTTCCCTCTACCTTACTGATGTGTGTTCGTTCACATAGCCGGTTGAATAGCTGTCATCCTGAACTGTGTGGTGCCATTTGCCAGCTTGCGACCCTCTTAAGTATGTTCTAGTATTTGTGATTCTGGGCACTAAAGCTGAGGATGGAGAAAAGCACCAGTGAGAAGGCCCTTAGCAATTGTTCTCTGGAGGCTTCAGTCTCAGGCACCCAAACCTCTCCTGAAGGGGGACTGACTGTCGGGCGCAGAGCCGCTGGGGCATGGTGATGACGCGCTACCAGCTGCGTCCTGGCCCTCCACTTCTCCTGGAGAAAAATGAGTTCACGTGAAGGTTCTCTGCCCCCTTCTCTCCGTGGCTGCATGGTTTCTGAAGTTAAGCCTCGCTGTTCAAGGCTCCTTTGATCTACATCCTCTTTAATTGGTTTTTACATCTGTTTAGATTTCATTAGAAAATATTGTAAATATGGTCTTTTCTTGTGGTCTATGAACGTTTAAAAAACCGGAGTCAGCAGAATTGACTGAGTCTTGCCCTGGGCCCAACCAGCTGTAAGAAGAGCTGGTGGGGGATGGAGGAAGGAGGCCCGACCTGCCTCTGCGAGAGCAGCGTGCGTGTGCGCATGCGTGCACGGGAACTCTCCGCTTACTGCTGGGGGCGCCTGTCCCTGTGAACGTGCTCAGGGCCCTGTGATTCTGCACGATGTCTGGCCCGCTTTAGTCCATGGGAAAAGACCAGTCACTAAGATCCGTCTAGTTAGTGAGCTTCCAAACCCTGACCAAGGAAATGTGCTGTGACTTCATATTCTGAGATGGCCCGACGGCAAAATCTGCCAGTCTGGAGAGTAATTGTTACAAGATTTTGAGGAAGCAGCTGATATTTCATCTTAAACTGATAATGTCTTCTGCTAAGGTTTAAAAAAATGAAGTCCATAACTTGCCATTGCTCTGTGCTTTGTGAGGCCAAAGTTCCATGATTCACCCTAGGTATGCCCCCACCCCGACCACCCCCGCCTCCCCCACATTGAAAGCAATCCTTTTGTCATTAGAGCTGAACTGTGTTGTTGCTATGTTTCCTGTTTCCAAACAACCCCATGGTGAAATCACCAAGCTAAGTTGACACAAGGTCTAGGAGAAAACACGCAAAGTCCGAAAATAAGTAAGGCTTTTGTTTCCCTGACAGCATTTTCCTATTGACTATGCGACTGACTCTTCTGTGCCTCTCACTCCGGGTGCATCCCACCCACTACAGCCCACTCTGGCCTCAGCACTGTGGCTTGCATTGAGCAACTGTGGGAAGCGCTGGTGACATTTAGGTGTGTGCGCGTAGATGAGCTAGCTGCTAGAGCAAATTTTGGAGGCTTCTGGTCACACTCAAATCTGTCCTGGTGATCTGGTCGCTGCTGGGGCTCGTATAAAAGGCTCCTTTGCTGGTCATTGATCGCAAAGGTCCACTGTGGCCCCATGATTTATGTGAGCACTCATAGATGAAGGCATTCTTCCAGAAGAAATCTGGTGCCTACATCTACCTGTTTAAAGAGTGGACTTTTTCCATCCTTGCCTGGGGGCCATTTCTGGAGCAACCTGAGTGCCCCCCACCTGTTGTTTGCCACGTGCCTGGCAGGGTGCCAAGGCCTCCTTGTTTAGTTCTCTAGGAATAGGGTACTCATGTTAGCCTCGCTTGACAGTTGATGAAACGGAGGTGCAGAGAGAGCCTATAACCTGCCCAGCTGACCCAGCTAATAAATAGCAGGGTTGGCTTTCAAACCCATGTCTTTAGTTCCAGTCCCCACTGTCATTACCACTGTGTTCCATAGCACCTCTCTTTCCCTGGCACCTGAACACTCACTACCCGCAGGGCCTGCTTCCAAGGGACATGTCTCAGTGGGAAAACAAGGTCTGGGCTGCAGTGATTAATGACATCAGTGCAGGACATTCAGACAAGGGACAGTATGAGGCCGAGCAAGGGCAGGCCTGGGTGAAATAGTGAGCACTCTCAAAGGCTTGAGGAAAGCAATATCCTTTTCCAAGTTCTGTCTAGAGTTATCCAGGAAGGCTTCCTGGAGAAGGCATGATCTGGGAAGGCTCCAGGAGGAGGAGGAGGAGGGATCTGATGGACTAGCAGAGGAGGGAGGTTGGGGACTGTAGGCTGAGAAGCCAGGAGGTCATTGCTGTGGTTCCGGGGACCTGAGATGTGAGCTCTGGGGCATTTTAGAGAAATCAGAGGCAGGTGGGGACTGTGCATATTGCCTCAGCCTCAGAGAGGAGGGGTGCCCAGGCCAGCAATTTATGACAAAGATGCTGTGTTCTATAGAGCCCAGGAGGACGTGAGGTCATGGGCTTGGAGAACTAGAATTGGATGAACTGGAACAGTGGTTCATAGTCCAGCAAGCTGAGAGCAGAGGGTTAAGGAGAATGGTGTGGTGACAGACCACAGTCCTGGGTGGAAATGACTTGGTTAATAGTTTCGACAGGAAGAGGAAGGAAAGAGGAGGGACGGGGGAAAGGAAGACATTCAATCATATTAAAGATCTGAGTGTGCAGGAGGGCCAAGAGGAGAGACGGCAGTCAGAGGGGAGAAAAGCATGCCAGGTGGGTTGGGGGATGGGATTTCTTGGGTGCTGGCCGGAGGGCTGAAACTAAAGACAGCCGGCCCAAACAGGAGAACAACATGAAGTACTGGGAGAAGAACCAGTCGATCGCCATCGAGCTGTCAGACCTGGTCGTCTACTGCAAGCCAACCAGCAAGACCAAAGACAACTTAGGTACGGTCTCCCACGACTCTGCCTCTGCACGTGGTGAAAACTCTTGTTCCCCTGAGTTTGGCGTCGTCACAGGGCACAGCGAGTGTGGTTCCTGCTCATTCTTAACTGCTCTAGGTGGAGCTTCCCCTTGCATCTGTCCTCAGAGCCTGGGTGCTAGTTGCACAGGCCCGCCTGGCATCTAAGGGGAAAAAGCCTCTCAGAGGGCAGGGCAGTTTCCTACTGCTACTATAACAAGTTACTGCAAACTTGGTGGCAGAAAACATATTTTTACTCTCAGTCCCGGAAGCCAGAAGTCTGGAATCAGTATCTCTAGGCTGAAGTCAAGGTGTGGACAGATTTCAGCCACTCCTTCTGGATTCTGGTGGTTGCCAACATTCCTTGGCTTGTGGCTGCATCATTCCAATCTGTCTCTTGGTCACATGTTTTTCTCTTCTGTGTAGTCAAAATACTCCCCATTAAAAGGGTCTGTGGTAACATTTAGGGCCCAGATAATCTCCCAATGCCAAGCTCCTTAATTTAATCATATCTGCAAAGCCCCCTTTGCCATATAAGGCAATTATCCAGCACAGAAGGATTCAAAGATGACTCTTAAACCAAAGTCTCCAAAGTAGCCAGTTCTTTGACCTTAGAATTGTCCCATTCACATTTCCTTCCTCCTTTCCTTGAACCTTTGGAGCAGATCCTATCTTTGATCTCAAGAATGTGTGATTCTAGGACCAAGGAGGTATAGTACCAGAGAAATGGGACTAAACCCCAGAATTAACTGTCTCTAGGAGGCTGTTCCCCAGGTACCTCCACGTTGCAGGTTTGTGGGCTGTCCCACCACAGCTGCACATGAAGGAGCAGAGCTTCACCTGAGCAAAGAATTGTTTGCATGTCCCCCCCGCCCCCCCCACAGCCTTTCCTGCAGGCAGTCGATTCCCCCTCCACCAGGAGGCTTGGTTCACTCATCAGAACCTGTAGCGTCTCTGCTGAGGGGAAAATGGACCCCCCTCCTACCTACTGATCCCTGAGTCCATTCCCTGACCCTCACCCTCTCTATACTTGTACCACTTCTGTGTTTTCTTGTGCGAGGCTGTGGGTAATTTTAAACAAAAAGAAAATTACAATAATCCTAGACAAAAAGACCATGGGAACACTGGGATCTCTTTTAATAGCTCGGATCCCTGAAGGGCAGGAGCCCCCAGCAGTCCCAGTTACAGGAGTGGCGTTAGGACCAGGTGCACGTCTTGTCAGAGGGCTTCCTGGTGTCATTTTATGAGCCTTCACATTTGGATAATACACGAGACACACGATAAACGGTGACTCTGTCTCTCTCTGCAGAAAATCCTGACTTCCGAGAAATCCGCTCCTTTGTGGAGACGAAGGCTGACAGCGTCGTCAGGCAGAAGCCCATCGATCTCCTGAAGTACAATCAGAAGGCCCTGACCCGCGTGTACCCGAAGGGACAGAGGGTGGACTCCTCCAACTACGATCCCTTCCGCCTCTGGCTGTGTGGCTCCCAAATGGTGGCACTCAATTTCCAGACTGCAGGTAAGGGGACAACTTGTGGCCAGTAAATCTAAGATGATGGTAGTGTCATTCCAGGCACAGTCTTCTGGGGCCTCTGGTGGAATACGCTGTCCCAGTACCTGTGATTTGTCTTAGGAACTGGTTCAACCAGCATGCTAGTGTGAGGCTCATCAGTTGAATAGAGTGACTAAGGGGACTGATGGGTACATCTGACAGTGGGCACTTGTATTTGGCAGGTTCTGTGTTGGCAAGTGACAGACACTGAGTTAGTCTGGATTAAGAAAGAAAGGAAATTCATTAGCTCACATATTTAAAAAGCCTAGAAGTCAGGCACAGCTGGATCAAGGTGTTCAGTGGCTTCCGTCTGCACTCACCTTCTTCCTGGTGCATCTGTCTTCGAGGGCTTCATGCTCAGACTCTCCTTCAGAGATATTCACATGCTGCAGAAAACCAACACGTGGAATTCTTTTTACATAAACAGTATAAATCACAGTGTTTTGCACTTTTGGTGATCTGTTCATCAGTTATGTCCTTTCTATTGCTTTTATACCTGCACAGGATTCCACTGACTAGAACCATCGTTTATTCAACCAGGCCCCTGCTGAGGCACACTTAGGTTATCCCCCATCCTTTACTATTTCAGATAACGCTGCCTTCTGTAACCTTCTGTGAGACAATTCTCAGATGTGCAGGGTGGGTTAAACAGCACAAGCATTTTGATCAACTGCCCTGAGGACAACCACTGAACACCTATGTCCAGGGGTGCCTAAGCTGGGACCCTTGGCCACGTGCTTCCGTAGAGATAGTGCAGACTGGTAAAGCATTTGAATACACCCTTCCGGCTTAGTTTGATCAATCTTTGCTCATCCGATAGACGGAAGTTGCCATCACACTGTCATTAAAGCTTCCCGTATTGGTGTTGCCCTAATTTTGAGTCACATGAACCAGTTTCTCACGTATTTAGGAAGCACTCGCTTTTTCTTTTCTGACCCAGCTCTTTTGCGGGGGTGTACGTATTTATAGCACACATCGATCAGCTGTCTCCCTGGGTTAACTTTAGATGTATTTGTTTATCTGTCATTTGAGTTAAAAGGATTTTCCTTTCCACAGCTTGTCTTAACTTTTATGGAATTTTTTTTTTCTATGTAGACACTTTTAGCTTTGCGTGGTTTATAATTTCTTTTTATGGTTCTGGATTTGGTGTCATACTTGGAAAGGTGTTCCCTGGTCTGAGATGTTTTAAAAAGTCCATGTTTTTCTTCCAGTAACATGGGTTTTCGGTGGATTTTTAAAAAACCCATATTTTCTTTGAGTTTAGGTATCTGTTTTAACAACTGGCTCATACTATTTTTGGGAATAATCACCTGTGTAGATGCTGGCCCCCAGCCCCGTGGCCCTGGAGGCCAGCCTTTCCCGCCGGACTTACCGCAGCAGTGCCCTTTCCTTCCCAGACAAGTACATGCAGATGAATCAGGCCTTGTTCTCGCTCAATGGGAGGACCGGCTACGTCCTACAGCCTGAGAGCATGAGGACGGATAAGTATGACCCCATGCCACCCGAGTCCCAGAGGAAGATTCAGATGACCTTGACGGTCAAGGTAAGGCCCCGCTGTCCTTCTTTGCCCAGCCCTGTGCCTAGTGATGCCTGTTGTCTTGTTTAAACCATCACTGCCCAGACACAGCTTGAGGGTTCATGGGGGTTTCTCCTGGGTCCTGGCGGGGACAGTTTCTGGCCAGGAAAAGAGGGAAAGAAAGCATGTGGGAAAACGGCCATTCGGTCTCCATGGAGGGAACGTTTGTCCCCATAATGTCCAGTTTTAAGGGTGAAAGCTTTTTAAAGTTCACTCAACTTTCAGAGAATATGTTGTCCTTTTGTGAGAATTTTTAGTTTTTCCTCTTTGGGAAAATATGAAAGGTAGAAAAATAGACTGCATTTCTCATAAGATTTAGGAAGAAAAAAAAATGAAGCATTTGTAACCAGAGGCCTTTAAAAGAAAATCACACACGCCCTCATCCTTTCCTCGGAGCTGGGAAATCAAGTGATTAAACGCCCTGTATCTGTAGGTGCCCACCTGCGCATGTGTTGTGTGTTCAGGTGAGGCGCACCTGTTCACTTTGATGGCATGGGCGCTCTGATCCTGGCTCATCTGAACAGCTCTGGGAATCTGCCCCATTTCCTCATCCCTGGGAGGGAAACAGCGGTGGTACCCACTTCAAAAGGTTGTTAGGACTTCTCCAACAAAGAAATTGAGGCTGGCTTTGAACTCATATAGTCTGATGCTAGAACCAAAAATGAGCTCCCTGCTAGACCACCCACACAGGACTTGTTAGCTCCTCCCACAACGGCCCTGGGAGAATGCCGGCACTCACCTTCGGTGTCCTAGGTTCTCGGGGCTCGCCATCTTCCCAAGCCTGGACGAAGCATCGCATGTCCCTTTGTGGAGGTGGAAATATGTGGAGCTGAATATGACAACAACAAGTTTAAGACGACGGTTGTGAGTAAGTTGCACGGGTCCTTCCTTCTCTTACACTTCCAGTGAGCTGTGTCCCATGTTGGGGCTGCCCTTCATCGGGGATTCTGTAATGCACTTTGGCGGTCCAGGTCTTTTCCTTCATCCCTCTTTCTCACTACAGTTTAGCTCTGGGAGGGGAAACAAAGGACCAGGTGATTAAATAGTTGGACTTTACCCAGTACTGTGACTCTGCCTGTAACTCCGGCCAGCAAGGCTCTGGCTGTCTGTGCAGCAGCCCCACCTGCTTTACCTCCGTAGTCCAAGCCCAAGAAGCAGAGACACAGAGAGGAGGTGACTATCTGACCCAAAGGCTGCATGCAGCCTAACCTGCGTGATCTTTTCCCGGAGGGCAGGGAGGCCTAGACAAATGTGTGTTCTTCCATTTTAAGCCAGGAAGAAACTGTGAACTGGGGGCCCTTTGAGGCCTGGGTCACGGCCCCTGGTGAAAGGCGGCCCAAGGACAACTCCCACGTTGACCAGAGAAACTGGAGTTTGTGGAGGGTGGCAAGGTGACTGCCTGCCTTGATCTGTGAGGCTGGTTCTCTCCTGACAACTACAGAACCCAGGCTGGCTCTGCCTGTCCAGATGCCCTAACACACCCTCGTACCTCCTCCAAGCCCACCTCTTCCTGCTCTACCACCGCCTCCCACCCCTTCCACGTCCCAGGAAGGTGAGATGGGAGCCGTGTCAAGGGGTACAGGGTCCTCCCCTCCTTACTCAGGCCTGTGACAACAGCTTTATCAGGATTGCTAGTGGGAAAAAGATTATTCATATTTTCTCAGATCTTGGCATAGATGCATATTTACACAGTTGCTAAGGAGATTCAAAGCCGATGAATGTAGAGAAGGTTTTTCCAGGAGGGGGCAGGATGAACAGGACCTCTAATAAGCTTTGATCACCTTCCAGATGACAATGGCCTAAGCCCCGTTTGGGCTCCAACACAGGAGAAGGTGACATTCGAAATTTATGATCCAAACCTCGCGTTCCTGCGCTTTGTGGTGTACGAGGAAGATATGTTCAGCGATCCCAACTTTCTTGCTCATGCCACTTACCCTATTAAAGGAATCAAATCAGGTAAGCGGCTTCTAATTAAGATGTTCAGTTTGGGCTAGCATTGTTCTTTGGCCTATGCTGATGGCTTTAAAAAGAATAAAAAGCATCTTTCAGGAAATCACTGCAAAACCAGTTAGGTGGCTGGGACAGGTCATCTCGTGGTGCTTCCCTGAGCTGGCACAGGTGCAGCCTGTGGTTCAGCACAGGGACGGGGGAGTGATGTCCAGATGGGATGCTGGGCCCTTCAGAGTCAGATGTCTATGTGCAAAATTGGACTATTGGCTGATTTTCCACCTGGCACTGTGATTTGATTTCATTTGAAAGGTTAGAAGCCTGTTGCCTGTCCTCAGCCAGGGGCCTATGTCTGGTTGGAGCTCTCGCCTTCTCCCTGGATGGGAAGGAAAAGGCCCCCAGCCACTGGTGGGAGTTACAGTTGTAGGTTCACCTCTCCTGAGTCATCTGGGCGAGTGGCTGTAGCTTTCAGAGCTTCGCTCTTCTCTTCTATAAAAGTGGGACAGTTGTTTTTTCTTCCAGTTGCAGTTTTCTTCCAAAACACAAGCCAAGCTGGGTCATGTGACCAGCTCTTAAGAATCAGGAGACTGGGTCCCACCCCTCCAAGCCAGGGAGATGCTCGGGAGGGAGGAGGTACGGGAAGCAGCACCAGGAGCTTGGTGCTGCTTCCAGGATACAGTTTGTCTCATTCACTTACCTGCTGGATTTTATGTAGAGTGTTTGCCAAACAGACTCTCCCTCCACGTCGAATTCCCTTTCCCCTCCCTTCGTATTTGAGACATTAGAGCACAGATCCTTCTGGACTCCTCATGATGTCGCTGTTTCCCTGTTTTCTAAGCATTCTTTTTCAAGAGAAAACGGTCACTCTCGTTTTAGTGATTTATATAAAAACACAGTCTTTTTTCTTGATTGGAACCCTTGGGTCCTGTTTTCTGCCCCCCACCCAAACTTGGAACATATCAGACCTTCCCTAAATTTCTAGTGTTTTGAGATCATAAATCTGATCATTCCCACCGTGGGCACTTGCCCAGGGAGACATGCTGGGACCCCAGTTAGAAAATGCAGGTTCCTGAGTCCGTTTCTTGGTGGGACTCATGCAGCTCAGGCTGGGATCTAGGACCCTGTGTGTTTAGCCAGCCCCTTGGGTGGCATTTCGAGAGAACAGCTAGACTGAGTCTGCCCATCTTACCATCATGGAAACAAATCCCTAGATTAAGCTAGACTTTGAAAAATGTTTGAACTGCCTTTTAGCACTTGAGGAACACCCAGCTTCCTAACCGACTCTGATGAGAACAACAGGTACTCCTCTGTAAGTCCCAGAGGCTGGGTGTTTGGCAAGCCCTCCTGGTTAACCTGCCCACTACCTTGTAAACTACATTAGATCCAGCAATTTAGGTGCAGTTCTTAACTTTGTAAATTGGTTCTTTTTCTTTTCTAATCCTCACCTGAGGATGTGTTTATTGATTTTAGGGAGAGAGAGAGAAACATTGATAGGTTGCCTCTGGTACGGGGCCCAACAGGGGATCAAACCCACAACCTTTGGCTGTGTGGACAACACTCCAACCAACTGAACCACCCAGCCAGGGCTTGTAATTTGCCTCTTTTAAAATAAATAATGATTAGGACAGATTCCTTTTCATGGTAACTATATCAACCTATTCCTAACCCATGTCCACTTGAGGGATAAGGCACATGAGCAAGGCAGCCCCTCCCAGTGCCTTGGGGAAAGTTGATGAATCCTCCTTAACAGCCACCAAATTCTGTCAGTTCATCTAGAAAATGCTATGATTTAGCTTGGAGATTTAACAAACAAAGCACAAAGCTTCAAGGATGATGAAAACTGTGACCCTTCACCCAACTGTGAGATACTCAGTAAGGACCTTTTCTTTCCCAGCTTCTAGCAATGCCCGGCACGTCCATATTTATGGAGGGAATGAAATAAAATGAACAAGCCCTTTGTGCACAAGGCACTGGGGGCCTTCTGAACTCAAAAATAAACTTTGCCCATTGTCATTAGGGATATGCTTAAGCTTTTAAGCCAGCTGGAGCTCAGGAAGAAAAACATCATTTATTGTGTTAGGTGCCTTAAACTCTTTCTCTTCTAATCCTCACAGCAATCCTGTGAAAGAGGTTTTTATCATCTCTGCTTTTTAAATAGAAGCACTTTGGGGCCTAGAGATGTTAATTAACTTGCTCAAGGTCACACACCTGTAAGACCAGAGCTGGGTGCAGAGCCAGATGTCTTTCTTCCAACTTACGTCCTTCCTGTTCCCCAGGCCTCCTCTGCTCCTCTGGAGCCAAAACACTGCTCACTCTTCCAAAGACGTCTCTAGCTCTCTTGCCTCTGTGCCATGACTCAAACCAGCAAGAATAAAAACAGAATTAAACTGTTCTTGGTGAAACTGGCAAGCCCCTTTCAGTCCTACTTCCCAATATTCAGGAAGGGCCGCTGAGAACCATGAGACCTGGGCAAGGAGAGGAGGTATGTGGAGCTGGAGATGTTGGCAGATGTGACAGGGCCCCCTCTGGAGGCACACCCTGAGGGCAGCAGTACCACTCTGCTTGGAAGCATGTTAGCTGGAGGGCACAGGCTGCCTGGCAGGCTCCCCAGACACCAGGGGGTGCTCAGATCCCAGTACATTCTAATAGTCGATCCACACCTAGACTGGATTCTTCCCCCCACCCCACCCGCTGTCCACAGACCAGCCAGGAGCTCAGTCCCACCCCCGACCTCTAGGGTCAGAATCTGCACTGTAATCAGATCCACAGGTGGTTCATATCTGCAGCAAAGTTGGAGAAGCATGCAGCTAGACTGTAAGAATTCTGTGGATATCCGGGCAAAACCCACAAACCAACCAACAACAAAATTCCCATCACCTGTGTAAGGAGTAACTCCCTCAGAAAACTTCCCTATAGCAGTATTCAAGGAGATCAATGTCCCCAAAAACCCTCCAGGGAAAAGAGTAAGACCTGAGGGTTTTATACCCACTCACTGTCACTCAAGCATAAAATTAAAGGGCAGGTGTGTTCAAACATTCACAGTTCAGGGATCTGTCCATGAGTTCAAATTGAAGAAAACAAAGACAAATTTAGCCAACAGAAATGTTCAGTAAAAGGGTGGTAAGCATTGGACACTTAAAAAAATGTGCATTTCACTGTGTGTGCCAATTTGTTTATAGTGTTCTTTTTCTGATATAAAACACTGAGCTTTAGTTAATGAGATGCATGCTGACATATTCAGGGGAAAGTGTATGTACAAAGTCTTCATCTTACTTTGAAGTACACACATGTGATGGATTGATGGGTGGAGAAATGTGATAAAAACAAGTATAGTAAAAGGTTAATAGTGAGATCTAGGTAGTGATTGTACAAGTGCTTCATGTAATACTCTTTTAGCTTTGCTGTATAAATGTCAGAAAAATATAAACAAGCCTACCTTTGTGGGAGAATTATGGCTACAAAATGGAACACACATATTATAATACCATGTTGATTTAGAAATAATATGGTTTTAACAAGTTAGGGGACCAAGAGGGGAGAAGGTACAGGGTTGTGTAAGCATGCCAATTTCCTCATCTTAAGCAGTGAAAAGCAATTGATTCAATAGATATTAAAGGTTATAACTGATAGTGTAAAGGGTTCTCTAAGAGAAATAAGGCTAATTGGTGAAATAGTGGGAGTACCCTAATTTGAGTATTGTTTGTCCTGAGAATCTGTAGCTACAATGCAAAAAAAAACTTTCAAGTTGGAGAGGCGGGCCCAAGATGGCAGTGTAGGTGGATGCTGAGCTTGCCCAACCCTTCCAAGGATATATCAAATATGCACCTATATGCAGAGCCATTCCTCTTGAGAGACAACTGTGAGTCAATTGAAAAGCATCTATACAACAAGTAAGAGAAAGCGACCACATGGAGAAGGTTGGGGTACCACGACAGCTCTCTGGGAGCTGAGGAAACAACCCAGGACTGGAGGAACCACTGAGTGCCATTGCTTACATTTCCCCCTAATATGGACAGTGGGAAGGAGCTCCATCCAGGACCTCTGGCTGACCTGTAGGCCCCAGGTACCCCTCTTGGAGCTGGAGCCAGCAGAAAGAGGAAGGCACCGTAGCTGCTTATAAAGTATGTGTCCACCGGGAAGATTGATCCAGCGGATACAGCAGGGTTCTGCTTTGCACACTCACTAGGCTGCACACACAAGGAGCTTCCTTGCCTGGACAGAGTGTGGAACTAGTAAAACACTGAGGAATCCACATGCAGAACTGTCCCTTCCAGAGAAAGTGCAGAGATAGTGAGGTACTGCTGCCCATGCATGTGGGGCTGCCTCACCAGAAGAAAGTTGGGGAGCAAGCAAAACTGTGTAGTGCCCACCCACAGACTACCCCGCACAGAGTGAGGAGGGTGTTGCTATATGCAGGAAAGGTGCCCCACCTGGAGAAATTGCAGAGTTACTAGGGCACTGAGAAGCAGGCATGCAGAGCTACTCACCCAGACCCTACTCTAAGGGTGGACAATTAAAGCAATTAAGGCAACTGCTGTGCAGAAATGGAAGGGTGCAGCTGAGTTCAGAGGAGTAGCACTACCTTGAGAGGGAGCAGAACAAGCAAAGCGCAGTTGTGTGTGCACATGCAACTGGACGTTGAGATGCAGGCATGCAAAGCAGCCCCACCCAGACCTTGCTCTGATCCCAGACAGTTAAAGCAATGGGGCATGGTGAGAATGGACCTAGCAGCCTCGTCTACATCAGGTAGCCACACCCAGATTAAAATGCCAGGGAGGCACAGACACACCAGAATGCCCCATCTGGAACCCACTCCTTCAGGCCAGGCAACATACAAGGTACCTCACCTCCCTGCCCCGAGTACAACCAGACTGCCAAAACTATTCAATGCAGTCTACACAGATACTACTCTTTCAAGACTGGAAGGGATATCTATTCCATTCAACTCATGGGAACAAACATAGTAAGTCAAACAAAATGGGGAGACAGAAGAATATGCCAAAAATGGA